CAAAGGATTTGTCCTGGATTAGAATCTCTGTCTTCTGATTCCCAGAATGTGTCAACACTGCAAAGACAAATAATTCAGTAAACACTGGAGCCTGTGGAGCCTGGGATGCAATTTGGTCTACCTCATTTAGGTATGGATGGATGAGTTAATACCTCCTCACTAGGGCCCTATAAAAAGCTGGCAGTCTAGTGTTTAAAATTAATGTTGTTAACTTTTCTAATTTTTCTAAGTTAGTTGACTGAGAGTGATAAACAATTCCAAGAGGTTATTGCAGTCCTAACAGCTAAGTCTAGGTGAAATTAATCATTTTTGGAGATAACCTCTCATTCTCCATTAACTGTAGAAGTAGCCTGGATGACAGATTGAAACGCAGTTTCTACCTTTGGGATGGCTAAAGTTAGCAGTGGAATTTTACACATAAATTCTCCAGATTCAGGCGCGTAAGCTTGACAGGTTATCTATGGAGGGCCTGTGGTGTTCTCTCTCTCCATCCATATTCTGTATAGATAATGGTTTGAGCACGGTTTGGGGCATGGTTTCGCTGGGTCCGTAGGTATGAGTTAGTTATCTAAATAGCTGGGCTGGATCTGTGGATTTGTGTTATGTGGTTGGATGAATTCCCAGCTGAATCATTCTCAGATGAAGGAGCCCTCTGGTAAAAAGAAACTTGGACTGTGGTCCAGCAGCAGCATTCATGCCTTTCTGTTTCTGACCTCTCCTCAATAATACAGGTTCTCTGATAACAAATAAAGATTGAGCTTTTCTCTTGGTAGAAGCACTTACAGGATCTTCTTCCTATGCAGATTTCTTTTAATTACATGCATCGGATCCTTACATCAGTACGAACCCTACTCCGCTGTCAAACTTGGTTGAAATTGGCTAAAAGAGTCAAAAGTTAGGAGGCAAGTACAGACGGTGTCATTAGCACGCTCCCCTTAGGAAACAGATTTCAAGTGATGTGATCTTAGCTGAGGTTGACTGACCTCAGCTAGTGAATTCATGTTAAGAGTTGTGCAGACACACCTATGTTTTAATAAACAATAATAGCTTGTGTTAAACCTAGACCGAAGTTTTGTTTTCACTGCTGTTTTAGCGCAAATGGCATTGTATTTTTGGCAGTTTAGATGGATCCCTAGTCATGTTCTTTAACAAAAAGATCTGTCTTCTCTGATCTTCAGCTTCAGTGAGCTGAACTTAAACAATTCAGCAGGAGCCATGATCTGAAACATCTCCTTTTCTACAGCCACTTAATTATTAGAACCTAGTTATTAATTAGAACATCTTGTAGATCAGAATGTTTTTAAATCTGCACAATATTCTCATAACTGAGTTTGTACAATTAATTATTTTAACACAATGATTGTTACATTTTAGAATCAAATGTAAGGTTATTATACACAAATAAGCATACAGGCATCTAGATGTCCTTGCTCAGTCAAAACTCTTATTGATTGTTCTGACTTTGCAAAACAATGTTGTTGTTCAGTTCCAGAACGTGATTTTTTTTCTTCTTGTTGATAGCTAGATAAATAAAGGTGCTAGCAGGCTGAAGATGGGCATCCATCCTTGTTGAAGAATATTAACCAAATCAATTTTTTTCAGAAAAAGAAAATCAATTGATGTATTAGCAAGAGAGAAAATAAAACATTATGCTGTTTTAGCTCCCAGGAGCCTGAATAGTCAACTCTAACTTTCAGAAATAGAGAGATAAAAAAGATCTAAAGTTCAGCTCAAATTCCAGATCAGAACCTCTCCAGGGCACATGGGGACTCTGACTCATTTCTAAACTAGATGTGCATTTAAAGGGCAGTCATATAAAAATCGACCCTCCTGCCAGAGCTTCAGTGCATATGGACACATCTGACTTTGAATCCCAGTTTGTCCTCCAAAAGCAGTAAGGTGAGGTGGTGACAGAAGAGGTTACATTTCTGCATTCGGCACCTGATGAATTTTCAGCAGTTGCTGAAAATAAGATGTTGCTGTAAACATAGGAGAAGAATCCTGTTGTCTTTTACAAGGCCTAACACATCCTCAGTAGGCTTTTGGTGGCAAAAGGGGAGTCAGTTTTTATGTGATAGATATTAGACTACCAAGCTTATGGACAGATAGAAACATTATTTTAAATGGGAAACATTGTCCAGTAGCTGTTGATAGGATCTCTGAAGAGTTAATTCTGGATCTGCCACTGGTTTGATGTGTAGTATTTAGTAAACCACCAGTATTTTAATAGGATTTAGTTACAAAATGAAGTGAAAGCATACTGAAGTGTTGTGGAACTTTGCATCTGAATCTGAACTTCTAGGCTGAGGCTATTTTATAGTATCTTCTTCTACTTCCTTGGGCTGCTGTGAAGAATAATTAATGTTTACATACTGCTTTGAACAGGCAGACTGTAATGACAGTACTAAGTTTTAATATTAAAACTACTAATTATTGGGATTCTGTAATAGACTCCTTCCATTTCATACAATCATAAGGTTTTATGATGTGTTTAAAAATAAAATTGCTGTGAGGAAGGACTGCCATTTAAATTTAAGATCAGATACTTCAAAAAGGATTATATGATATGCCTGAGAGCTCCCCCCCGAGCTGCTTCTCCCTGCCTGCCCTCCTCCATATGCAGGCTGGTTTTCTACATTACAAATGAACCCATGTTTGTCTGTAACTAGAAAGCCTTCTGCAAGCAGCTGGTGCGACTTCCCAGCCTGCGTGGGGGGGTTTAGGGGTATCACTGAGCCGATATGTTGCATAATATATGTATGTACTGGCATTGGAGCATACATAAGATACTTCACTATTATACTGTGAAAAACTTAAGGAATGTGACAAGGCTAATGGTGAAGGTTAGGAAGCATACTTTATGGGCAGGTTATTCCATAATTTTCCTCCTAAGGCCTTATACACACACACACGTGTCTCTGAAGTACCAACTTTGACAAATGTTGTTCTTGGTCAATAGCTAATCTGCCTTAATATGGTGTTTAGTTTTAATATTGACGTAAAATATCTAGGCACAAAACCCCACTGGAATGATCAAATACCGTGTACTCATTAGTGCAAGCCGAGGATGCCATCACCACTGATTTAACTACTAATGAATTTGGAGACATCTATGTCTGCGCTAGTTGTTTGGACTCCCCGTATACTCACTGCAGCAAAATAGGCACTGCTAGGATGCAAGTCATTATGTCCTAATGTAGATCCCTAGATTTCATTAGATGAATTGCCCCCTGAAAGCGCATTTTTCTCTGACTTGATTATAGAGGGAAGCAGAGTAATTAGCTCAAAAGTAGCTGGCTACATCTTAGAAGCATAAAGGTTGGTAAGATTAATCCTACCCTTTTAGGCTTTCTTTTTCATTCTGGCACATCTCTTTATATTTACCTTTGATTCATAACACAGACTGTTTAAGCAAGCAAAATATGCCTTTTTATTTGTTCAGACAATAACTGATGATTTTCACTGGAAAATAAAACTTGTGCACCAAGCTGGTCTATTATTATAACTGCTTTAATGAAAAGAAACTTGTAAGACTGTATTTTTCATATTGGATCATAAAGGCAGTATTTCTCAGCATTTTCAGTCAAAGATGTGCCTGATAATGTTGTTTTCAACCAGAAACTTTCTCAGATATTTGCTTATTAATGACCTTTTCTTTGTGCAGCACCTTGCACAGGAGAGTCGTGGTATATGCCCATAACACCGGCACTACAGCATTACAAAGAAAGGATTTATTCTATTGTATAAATATCAGCCCATCCTTGCAATATCCAGAGTATAGCATTTTGAAAGAGCAATTACCAGGTACTTTTAAGTTGAAAGGTACCATAATTATCCATTGTTTGAAAAGAGAATGAGAATACCTAATCGTGTAGTGCTCTGTGAAGTGTAGTGATCTGTTTGCTGGAGAATCTGGGCATGTGTCCATAATGTATGGGTTGAAACAGTGTTGTGCCCATCAAAAGGAGTGAGTAAGGTGTTTCTGTGACTGTCTCATGTGGCTGAATGAAAACATAAAGAATGAGGGTAGTAGAGTATTTATATAAATGTCATTGCTACTGTCGTATTTTTTGAATGTAGATTCTTTTCTGTTCTTTCTGTGTGAGGAGGAGACACACACGCAGTTGTAATGTTCTGTAGAAGTTTCACGTGCATGGTGTGGAATAGCCATGGTTGTGTAATGCATATTATTCTAGTACTGCTGAGTAAATGTTAAACAGTCCGAGGCACCAAACATTCCTTCTAGGTAACCTTGAGTAAATTTGCAGGAACAAGTCAAAGGAGCTACTCTGTACCTGCAGCCATTTAACTGGCAGCAAATTTGGCTCAAAAGTTCCCAAACCTTAACCTACATCCCCACCCAAAGGTGGAAAGCTCCTGCTGACTGTGGTGAGCTTTGGACCACACATAGCAGCAGCCCACGGTTACCTGATGTGTACTCTGCAAGGACTATTCCCTTTAGTTGGTTACGCTGTTAAAAGAATGTCTTAAAATACATGGTAAGTATTTAATGAGAAGTAAACCCAGATGAATTTATATTAAATTTGGTTTCATTGTCAGTAGGTTTGGTTTAGGGAGGGTTTTTTTGTGTTTAGGAGCAGGCCTTGGTCAGGCATCTGCATTGGGATTCTCTCTTCTGCTGCTTCCCACTTGTTCCTTGCCTGCTTTTATCATCTTCAGCAGGGAAACTCCACTGTGCAAGCAACAGCTCTTCTGTACATCTGTGCAATGTTTGGTACAATATGAGTTATAACCTATTGCATAAAGAATAATAAGTATTTCCATTTTAGAGACTGAATTATTAGAAAGCAAGGGTAACAATATGATACCACTGTGTTTGACTCTCCTGCCTTATCCGTTTTGGATGAGGCTTCAAAGTAAAAATGGAAATGAGCAGCTGATGTTACCAAGACATTAATTTTTCACTCTTTCCCTTCCCCCCAGCACTTAGATTTAGATGTAGCTCAGATAGATTGAAACTGTGTGCCTTGTTTTGGCAGGAATGCTACAGAATGGAAAGAAGTTTGATTCCTCCAGAGACAGAAACAAGCCTTTCAGGTTCAAGATTGGCAGGCAAGAAGTCATTAAAGGATTTGAAGAAGGTGTTACACAGGTACAAAAATTATTCTGGCTGAACTTCAAGCCAGTTGAAGGGTGTGTGAGCACAGCAATGTCCGGTGCAATGGTGACAAGACCAAGTAGAAATCACAGTGTAAGCTACAGAGTGGTTTTCTGAAAAGCGTGGCCCATTGGAGAACAGTATTTCCTGTAGTTATCCATCCATCCATCCATCCATCCATCCATCCATCCATCCATCCATCCATCCATCCATCCATCCATCCATCCAGGGACATCCCCTGCTCATGAGACTTTCCATGTGGTGTGTGTCTGGAAGGGGAGAGGTGAAATCCCCTCCCCGGGTCCCAGCGTGCCACGTAAGCCCCATCCCTTTCCCATGGGCAGCTCCATAAACAGACAACAGTGGCCTCTCAAATGTTCTAGGTGGCAGTGTTTTATGGAGTGGCCTCTATTCAGATACTCCATAAAAGGCCAAGCGGCTGTTTGTGGTGACATCCATGGCCAAGCTACAGATTTTGACCCTTATTGAATAAGGTGCCAAACTGCGCTGTTAAATTTTTTATGACTTCATGCTCCTAGCTACAAAACTTAACATTCAGTGACCAACTCTACACTGAGAAAAAGGAAACTGCCCTCCATTAATTATAGTTTGAGTGCCAACACAGTAGAACCCTAAAAGAGAGACACAATGCAATTCATTGCCAGCTCTTGCTTTTTGTCTGCAGTGTTGTGAAGGCCCACTACGTGAGGCGTGCAGTCAGGCTGCTCGAGTGCGAGAGTGAATGAGATCAGGGTGCAAATTCCTCTTGACTCCCTGTTTTAGGGTCATAGGAAGCAGTGTGGGAGGAAACTGCACAAATATTATTATAGGAACAGCTATAACAGGAACAACTTCTTATGCTTAAAGAGAAGGAAAGAATGTCAAATGAGAATCAATCCACTGAGGAGTGGTGCAACCATGCTTTTCCAGAAATGGATGGAAGAGAAAATGGTTTCCAGCCCTAGGGAGAAAGCAGTGCAAGCGTTCCCTTCTTGCCAGGCAGAAAGTCCATTTGAGGTATTCTAGACTCTCTGGAAAATACCCACCTTCCTCTCAGGGATTTGAGTTGGACTATTTATTATTTCCTTTGCCATAAGGCCTAAGAGGAGTTCAGGATCCCAATGTGCTGTAGAAACCAGAAGCCAGTGCAGATAAAGCAGTGGCAACAAGCACTGGGTCAATCAGTTTATCCCTTCACTGCTCTCGCTCCCTGACTCCTGTCCCTTAATAAGTGCCTGAAAGCCCTTCCCGTAATCGGTGTGGCAGCATGCTGCCTTCCTGCTCCTCCTAGTGGAACACTGTCTGAAGTCGAGCTTGTGGCTCTCTCCTTCCACTCCGGGGCTTTGAGGGGTCTGGGGAGGTGAGACTGGCACGAGGCACTTGGAAAAAGGCAGTTTGCTATGTCTAGCACGTAGAGATTTTTCAAACCTTGGTTTAATGACTGTCAGATGTCAGCAGCGTCTGCATTTCTCTGCTCAACTTCTGACAGTTCCAGGTTGCCCCGTGCCTAAAACCCGTGCGTGACTTGATTGTCTGACTCGCAGGGACCTGCAGAGCAACAGCCAGCCTGCCCCACGCAAACCCCTGCAGCGACCAGGGGAGAGCATCGGCTCTTACACCCTCAGCCCCATGGTATGAATACTCCCTGAATGTGGGAAATTCAAATTCACGTTTTTCTTCTACCTAAAGTGATCAAAGCTCTAGCCTTGGCGTATTTTATAGGACCTGAAAAAAATTCAACAGGAGATACCACAGAATCTGTAGTCCAGTGATGTGCCCAATCTTGGGAGAGGCCTGAGTTAAAAAACACCGCTTCAAGTCAGGGGTTGTTTCTTGGCCAATGACTCACCAGTGCATGGTGCACGAATAGCAGTTTGAGAATGCTCCACCCCAAAATACTCTGTTGGAAGAGCAGGGTTTGATTCTTGATACCCCAAATCTCAGTGAGCACTGTTACCTTCAGAGCTAGTCTGGGGTGAGAGGAATCAGCATTCCTGTCCATCCCAGGGGCAAGAGCTCTCTGCCGGAATAAGCAGCCCCTGAGGTGCAACGTGTGCGCTTGGGCTGAGTTGAGACAAGTAAGTATCTCTTTTAAGTAGGATTTGTTTGCTTTGCATCTGACCAGCAGCAGAAAGTTGGGTGCCTACAACATTAACGTTTGAGCAGTGGTTTTGAAGTCATCCCTGGTGGTGGCTGAAGAAGGCAAAAACATTGCTGAACACTTTTCAGAAGCTGAACCTATCGTGTTTCAGCAGTGATCTCTCATGCCTACAAGCTCTGGTCCTATCTGTCACTGAGAGCCTTTTCCTAACACCCACTGATAGTGGTACACGTACCCTGCGCTCCGCAGAAGGAGCTCACACCTACAGCTGGCCCCAGCGTAGGCAGGCTGGACCAAAGCGCGTGTTAAAAGGCCTTTGTGTGACTCCCAGGCTGGCTCTGCTAACTTAAGTAACTGAGGCAGGAGACCTACGGCTGAGCTGTTTGTGGCAGCTTCAGCCTGAAGCTGAAAGATGAATCTGACGGTCCCAACTCTCCTCAATTTGTAAATCTGCCACGTTTGTTTATTTTCCTCCTAATACTGTTTGTCTTCTCTTTTTCTTTCTCCTACATCCAAAACCCAGATGAGCTTAGGACAAAGAGCAAAGTTGACCTGCACACCTGAGATGGCCTATGGAGCCACAGGCCACCCTGGGGTCATCCCCCCCAATGCTACTCTCCTCTTTGATGTGGAGCTTCTCAGGTTAGAGTGAATCTTCTCTCGAGGGAGTTGGCTGCAGACATCTGTTAATACCCATCCGTTCTTTCTTGCCTTGCTAGCAGCAGGAGAAATCTCCACTGGAATCCCAATCTTCCCTGCTCAAGCTGTCCTGTCAATAGCGCCTGCCGTTCGGTTTCTTATGCCTTCCTTCTCTTTTTTAACTTTGTGGTGTCCGTATTTGCCTTTTATTAGAAGCTTTGCATTGGGAAAAATGTCTACCGTTGTAACATTTTCAAGTTGTACATTTTATTTAATTTGCATGTAAGAATTCACAGTGATGATTGAAAATATATATAAAATATAAATATATATATATTCCTTATTGAAAAACCACTGCCTTACTGTACACTTAAACCAAGGAAAAAAAAAAAAAACACAAAAGGTGCTCAAAACAAAAAAATCCAATGTACGCCTTGTACATGAACGGGCATTAGCCAAACCGAGTTACCTGCGCTGCCACTTTTCTCAACTTGTATGTTCTGCTTGCTGCTGTTTTAAAAAATACTGTCTCATTTAAGACTTAAAAGTAAGTATATATATGTAAAACAATAAAATCTCAATACTTTACAGTTTCAATTTCCTGTTTTTCTCCTCCGGCCACTGGAATTCTTTCTGGTGTATTATAAGAAGTTCTTCAAACAATTATCAACCCATTTTTTGTTAATTATTTCTATTATATAAAATACACATAATCCCACGCACTGCTTCTGTTATAGGTGGCACAGTGGAAGATCTCTGTGGGACCAGAGGTGCCAGGAACATGCAAGTAAGGGCTGCTGGGACAGAGAGGTTTCCTGACTCTCCCTCCCCTGCCCTGCTGGTGGCCCCTCAACCGGCCAACATTTGGCTGCTGAAGAGGTGGCGAGTGATGCTTCTCAAAGACACACAGTGGCGGCCCAATTCTGTCTTTACAACAGTAAAACGAGTGTAAAATTTTCTGTGAGAGTTGAGATAAGGCTAGAGTAGAGCAGACCTGTGTGCATCTGAACTGAGGGATGATACAACCGCTGAACACTGTGGTTTTTTAGGCTGCATCTCCTGATGCTGTTCACACAGCCTGCAGCCTTACTTTGTGCGCTGGGCTCCTGGCACTTCAGACTGAGCAATATGTATTTCATTTGATGGTTATATGAATTCACAAAATGCTGGTTCCTCCCCTGGCAAAAAAGCCGTAGACTGTCATTTACCTGGTTTTAGGAGCAGGACCTGATGAGTGAAGCTGCCTCTGCTGTTATTTTGCTTTGCCTAAACTTGATTTCTCCCCTCTGGTGTAGACAAAAAGAGCATCACTGGGCCATAATGTTATTTTCACTTAACTTGAAAACTATGCAAATAGTTTATAGTCAACAAATGGATTTTTTTGACAGGATTTCAAGCAGGTGGTGAGCTATTTCCTTGTGTGAGTCTGTAAGGAGGACATGCCTAGCATGGGCAGACAGACCACAAAGCTGCGCAGGTATCTCCAGGTGATGCTTTCTGGGGTTGAGAGAAGGCCCACAGAAAAGCAAGACGGGCAATCTGGCCTGTGACTCCAGCTCATGCTCTTCTTCAGATGTTCATTTTACCCACAAAGCTGCATTTGAGTTTTAGTTAATAAGCCCGTAAAACCCATCTCTTACAGACGGTTACTCACTGAGGGTTGGTGGTGTGTTTTTCTTGCTCCCCTCTCTGTAAAGAAACAAAAGGCCTTTCAGGACCCTTTTCTGGTGGAAATCTAGGCTCACCATAGCAGTGAGGTTACACAGCCACATTTCACTAACAGTTCTTTTATTTAGGACAGACTAATTTCCTGTTAATAAATAGAGAATTAGACTTGCCAGGGTGATGCCCACTAGCTGTCCCAAATTCTTTCAAATAGGTCCCGGTCTCCTTTGCCACTGCTCCTGCTTCTGTCACTGGTCTTGATTTCAGCCTGGGCTTGCAGATTGCAGTTGCATTGCAGCAGTTGCAGATGTGAGCTCCCACACGCGTCTTGGTTAAGTGTAACGTAGCCCTGTCGCGCCTGGCAAACACCTGTTGGTTCAGCACATTGGTCTAAAGCTGCTCCTATCAATGGCCCAGTTTAAGTTAGTTGCTCATTAAAAAAAAAAAAAAAAAAAAAAAAAAGAAAAACCAACATAAAGGACCTGGTTTGGGAGCTTGCTTGCAAGCCTCAAAAGCAAACAGTGGTGCAGATGACTGGCTCAGCATCCCTGGAACGGCTGCACGCTCCCTCCGTCATCTCTTAGTCCCGCTGTTGGCAAGCTTCGGCTGCGTCCGGAGCAACAGGCTGGGCACCGCTCTGCCCCTCCGCTTCTGCCACATTTCCTACCACTGAAAACCACGCGGGTTTCAGAGCTGATCTGATTCAGCCTTACTATCTGTATCTGCAGAGCTGCCTTGCGCTTCCCTTTTGCCCTCAGCAGTACAACCCAGCCATTAGCGAGTCTGTAAAACCCTTATTACAGCTGGCTGATGAAGCTCTCCCTCATCACCCTTTCTCTGCAGAGACCTTTGTTGGAAGCAGAGATTATTACGTTTTTCATGCCAATTTCATTAAAAAAAAAAATCTGAAAGGAAAACTAATTGTGCTTTGTGATACTTAGGGAAATTAAGTCTTCAAGGAAATGTAATCTTCAGCTCTTTATTTGACTGCAAATGCGTTAATTTATTTAATTGTATCATCGATCAACACAGTACATATAATTATTACCACTATATAATGGATTGGAAAAAATTTACTGTCATTGCCTGTGTAATCAGATATGCTCTTGTTACTAATTTCTAAACAGTATCCATGGAAAAAAATGACCTTCCAGGCTTAATTTCATGCCCTACTTCCTGAAAAATTAAATGGGAAGTAAACACACACAAAAAGCCAGCACAGATGCAGAGTACAAGGCTGGTAACATCTGCCTTATTTGCTGCCCCCTCTGCCATTCATATAACTGAACTCATTTCCCTGTCCTTTGATATTACATTTCAAACAAAATCTTGAGCAGACCTCATCAAAACAATCCTCCGGGCATTCGATTTCCATTCCCTCTGTCTTGCAGGTACAAATTATTATTTCATTTTACATGTGCAGGGACATTGAAAGCCCTGAACAGGCACTAGAAGAAAAAGTATGAAATGGAATATTTAATGAAAGGCAGCAGCTGAGCTCTCAGAGAAATCAAAAGCTGCTGATCTTGAGGATTCATTGAAGGAATTTTTATTAATCTTATTACCCTAAAGAATTGCTTTTTATATATATATTTTTCAAACAGCATCAAACCCTCATCAAAACAGACACTGCAGTGCAAGCACCATGCTCTCTGCTATTGACAGAAGCGATGTGGTATTTGCATATGATTTTAAACAAGGCTGGCAGCATGTGGCATCACTATTAGCACTTTGATATTTTATTATCAGTATTTATTATTATTAGAAGCCTAAATCCAGTGTGGTAACAAACACCTCCAATTCCTGTTACAGCGAGGGGCCTAAATGCCCAGCAACTGGTGTAAACAGCCCCAGTCATCCTACTGTTTGGCATGTGTGTGTACGCATACACGTGGCATATGCAGATATAAATGTGGGGGGGGCCATCTGTAACCTTTAAAAAGCTGTGGATGCTCACACAGAAGCAAGCCCTCCAGTAGGATTTCATTCACTTAAACATTTTTAAGGCAAGCTGCTTTTTGCCTTAGGTTTGTATTAATCTCATGGGCAAGACCCAAAGCCAAGCTGGCACTGGAAGAGTAACCACTCACCCAAGGACAACAGCAGATCACAGCTGCTTTGCATTTAATGTATGTGCATCACAGCTGCACCTGACAAGCGGTACAGGGCTGGGGAAGTGGGAAAGGTGGCAGGGCACCACAGCAGAGCTCTATGTGTCTGTCGCTCAGACACATAACCCCCGCGGCCCACGGGCTCCATCTCCCATTGCCTGTTCCCAACCTTGGTGCAGGGTGTGCTGCGGCCTGCAAGGCTTCTCGCTGCAAAAACCAGTGTCAGTTTTAGGGGAAGGACACGAGGGTGGAAGAGCCACAGCGCAAGGACAAGGCTTTTCACCACCCACGCCAAACGTCGCTTTCGCTCACGTCCCAGCTGCCCACCTGCACCAGGAGGCAGCGCCGTCCCCGCGGGGCCTGGTCAGGCACAGGATGGGATTTTGAGCACCCACCCAAAGCTGAAATCGCCCCCCGAGCTGTGTCAGCTGCCTCCCCACTGCTGCGCCAGGGCAAAACCACCAGTTCAGAGCGTCCCCGCTGCCCTTCGTGCTCCTCCCAGCCGCGAAGCGACGTGCACAGCACGGGGCAACGAGGGACCTCCGCCGCTCGAGCGGGGCGCTGGCGCTCACCCCTGGGCATCCTTCCCCACCACTCCCCTGCTGACCACGCGCGAATGCTCACGGACGTACGGGGACGGATGCTCCACAAATTCTTGCCTGTATCAAACACGCAGGGGACGAATCATTTCCTTTCTAACGGGAAAGGTTACATGCAGAAGTAGCACAGCATAAAGCAAGCCTGGATGAAAAAAGGCAAAACTATGTAGACATTTATTGTTTTACTAAATAGACACAAGAACAGCACGGTTCAAGTGACAGATTTCAACAAAAATCTAAGGAAATGGAAACATTCATTTATGACAGTATAATGCACTGAAAAAAAAAATAACTTAATTGCAAATCCTCAGGCAAAGTATGTTTGCATCTGTCCACGTTCTGTACTGGCTGGAAGTTGTGTGGTCAGGGAGTTAAACATCACATCCAACCAAATAAAAAATAAATCCTCCCGAGGCAGGATACTACCAACATTCACACGACTTCCAGCTGGTTCAGAACAGAGGTAGAGGCTATTCTTTTCCACTTTCAAAATATACTGGTTATGCATACTCTGTATCACACTGATTTTTATTCACATGACATGAGTGCTGAAAAAAGAGCGCGCCAAAAAGCATAACTGATCCTCTTCCACCAGATGCTACATCTAAAAATTTATGTACATGAAATATATTACAGTTCAGACACACCGAGTAGAAAACAGTCACAATACATGTATCTAAAATGACCTCCATCATCTACTGTCTCGTTTCAGCCAGGCGTTCCTCCTCGTTTCAGCCCATGACTCCTCCTCACCTCGGTGCAAACCCATACATGCAATAAAGATCCCGTACACCACTGTCAGCCCGGCAGCTACACACTATTAGAGCAAGATTATCTTACTGCATCTTAACAGTTTAGTCACTGGGAACAAGATATTTTGACTGAAGTCACCTATGTGGCTGAATCATTTTAAAAAGGCCCTTCATTTTCTATAGTTTGTAAAAGAAACTTTGTTACAAACACAGATTTGGGCTTGCTTTGTTTCTAGCAAAAAGCAGCCTCATGATCATGTAAGGGAGTTAGGCTCCTTCAAACACTCAGAGGGAGAAAGGCACACCAATTTGTGCACAATACACAGGTGTTATGAAGTATCAAACCATACTCACTTTTTTTTTTTACAAAGCACAGAAATCCCTGTGGCAGGGAGACTAGTTGCAATATTCCACTTTCAGAAAGTAGCAAGTGAAATTCACCTCGGTGCAGGCAGCTGGTGCAGAGCCCCCTGAGCTCTTTGCATTAACTGGCTGCCAAATCTGCCCTGGAGATGGGGCAGAACTTCAGGAAGTGCAAAACACTCGGCCTGCTCGGTCCTGTCTTGAAAGGTCCTGCTAGAAACAGGACTGCGGCTACGCAGGATTTACCAGGTCATCCTTACAACACAGGGAAGCCATGTCCACTTGGGGGATTTAATCTTAAAGCAAATCTTCTCATGTTTTACATTTTTTAAATTCTAATGTGAAGATCTAAAGGTTCAAATGACAGTTTATCAAATTTTTAAAGAAGTTATACTTCATTAAGAACTCCTATGTTTAGTTCAAGAATTCAAGGGCAGGGTTTGAAAACAGTTTTCCAAAAGATCAGTTTATTTTGGTGGGTCTGTATTAATTCCGTATTTTTCCTTGAGAAGCTTAAGCTGTTCCTCTTTCTTCTTTGTGTCCATCTTTTGGAATGCCTGTAATTAGGAAAATAAAAGACGTGAGAAGAAAAAATAAAAAACCTCATCTTATGACATGTCATTTCCTAGTAACTGCAACCAACATCACACAAACACACAGAGAGCGCTGCTTAGCTCCAGACCTCAGAGAGCACCCCAGGACCCTGGGTACTGTCAGTAACAGGTAGAACATGAAGGCCTGGAGACTTTCTACCTTCAGTAAGCAAGACCTCTCATCCTGTTGCAACTATGCGGTTTGAAGGCCCTTGCTTCCTCTTCTACAAAGTACACTCACCAGAAACATGTTTTCCACACCCCTGGTCCAAAGGTACTTTTTTTTTTTTTTGCACACAAATCACAAGAAAAAATTAAATACTATCAATTTATCCAATGTACGCCCTCTATCAGTTTGGATCTATTTCTTAAAAATATCCAAGCAACTGTCTTTTCAAACTAAGGGTGTTTTTGTGCTAGCTATGTTCACAGGTAACTTAAAAACCCCAAGTGTACATACCCTGTTTGCATTATAGTATAAAACAACGAGGTATCTGTTGCACACATTGAATCCCGACAGGTGATCACAAGCATTTTTGGCATCAAAGATGTCTTCATAAACCACATAGGCCGTTCCTCTAGTTTCAGGAGTGTTTCCACTGCAGAGCAAGATCAGTTTTAACATTAAACTAAATGAACAGGAGATAGTTCTATTGGTTTTAACAGTGACAGATTAGATTAGCTAACGCAACTTCACTAAAAAACATTTTTCTAGATATTAAAATACATCCCTGCTTTCCACACTAATCTCCACTTACAGCTGAGTCGGAGACAACGGTAAAACATGACAGACACGCGCTGCACTGTGCTCCCAAAGGGAAATTCACCTCTCCACAACTAGCAGAAGCTGTTGCTGTCAGGGCTTGTCATATTTCTGGACATACTTTTAAGTTTTTATTATGGTGATTAACTTGGTATATTTAATACTACAAGACCAGGCTACCAGTTAAAGTCTGTCTGGATCAGATGTCTCCCCAGGATGGAATATGGCTCCTGGCACACCACAAAGTCAATTGAAGAGAGTCAAAACAGCCCTGCCGGTACAAGACCACTTTGGATGTGCAGCCGTCACCTCTCAGACCATCAATTCAATTTCCTTTGCCTGAGGGACAGGAGACACGTCTGAGCACATAACGCTAACCTCTGGAGAGACTGCAGAGTTTACAAATCCAGAAAATCTCAGCTAGAAGATAGTTATAGCAAACTTAATAATCAGAATAACTGCCTCTCTAAGGTGCTCACTTCTTAGAAAAGAACTCCTGAAGGACAAATGATATCACACACAGATGTGTACAAAAATGAAGGGAAGAATGGGATAAAAACTGCACAGAGCACAGAAGTCATTACATATGGAGTTCCATGTTATTCCTTGTTAGGAGTTTTGTGGAAAACAACACAAATCAATACTTCTGAATGATCAGCAGGGAGGCTGCCTGCAGTTCCCCATTGAATGCATATGCCAGCACGTCGCTCTGATGGAAAGTTCCCCTGACTAGTCTTAATCCTTTATGTCCCACTGTTCTAACCTACATGTTTTCAGAAACCGTAAATATCAGTTCTCCTTTATGTGTATTAGTGAAAAATCCCACCTATTTAGCCAAGCAGGAAGTTTATGCTGTCCCTTGTTCCTTTAGCCATCTCCTCAGTCACTTTTGTTGCCCTTCCCCAGAAGGGGAGGATCTCAGGAGCTACACGTTCCAACACAGTGTAGTACATCCCCCTGCCCTGGTTTGGTCACTGAAGGCAATTTTGTATGTAAAAGTTACTTTATTCTATACAATGAACAATCTTTTTTAATCACTACAGCTTCTATTTGGGGTAGTAAAGTTTGGTCTGTTTAACTGTATATGTATTTACATCCTGCAGAGTCAAAACAATTAAACATATTGTGGATTAATTACCCACCCCAGTCTCAGAGCATGGGGAAATGGAGAGTGATATAAATGACAAGGATATATTCTGCTCTAATCCAATTAGCAACCTAGTCAACAACTCAGAGATGCTGCAGGTTATTTTGCCACCATCCAGATAAAAGCAGTACAAAAAAATCCACATCAAATATAAACTACATTTCCTTTCCATTTGCACATCTATTGAAATGTGATTTAGAATGTTTTTGTTTAAGTATTAAACACCAAGTTTTGTTTCCTCCTAAAAATTTTTCAGAAAGGGAAGAAAAAATCCTTTTGTACGAGTGTCATACTCCAGACAGCCTTACTACAATTCTCAAAAGCTCCTCCTGAATTCCAGCTTCAGCCAACTCTTTACACTAAAAGCTTAGTGGAACAGACTACTAACCAGATGGGAGTTATGGTTTAACCCACAGCAGACAGTACTCAGGATAACAAGGAACATCAAAGCTTGGGTCTTCACTATTCTGAATAACTAAAGAGAAGAACCTCAGAATTGCAGTAGCGATATATAACCATAACGCATTTCAAAACAAAATTACAGGCAGGTCACCATCACCCACAGACCACGTGGCTCAGGGACAGTCTGATGCACAGGGAGTTGTTTCTGGTATCTGTTTCCAGTCAACAGGTCCAGCAGCAATAGTCACATCTCTTATTTTCCCACTAGTGAAATACCTAACACTCATTAAATACGAAAACTGGTTGTATTCAAGTTTGCCTTTCTTATTTTTGCCTTTAGTTAAGGTAAAAGGTTAGCTGTATTTAAGCTTTACCTGAGAGCAAGCCTCTCATTTTTACTAGCTTACCTAAATTCACTCCAAATTTAAGCTTCTTCACCCCACCTACCAGCAATATTATTTTCTAACAAATTCACGCTTAAAATAAGTACCACATTCACCCCAGCACACAGGGATACTGCTAAAGCAAATTTAACTTTTTCAGCTATGAAATTCATTTGCTACCTCCTGTAACAGGAATACTGACATACAACGGATACACTAAAGCTTCTAAAATCCTTAAATTTTCAAAGAAAACTAAAATACTTACACTCTGATTTGTCGAATAGGCCCGTATTTCCCAAAGATATCATACATTTCCTCCGCTGTGATTTTATATGGCAGGTTCCTAATATACAGGATCCGATTGACTTCTGGAGGCAGCCGAATCTGATGGAGAATCAACACAGAGTGTATTAGGCCTAGAGTGCTCACTTCAAACCTTAAAAGCAGCAGCTTGTCTACTAAACTTTGGGGCTAACACTGGGAGAGCCCGTGTGCTTCGCCGGTCTTTTTTTTTAACATTCCACAGCCACAAACTTGACGTGTTTCTGCCAGCCAAGAGGCCTGTCTTGAGGAGGACGAGCTCCCTTGGCCGGGGACGCGGAAGGAGCCCGATCCGGGCGAGAAGGCCTGCTCTCAGCCCCGGGACGGGGGACCCCTCCTCATCGCCCCGGAGAGCCGGGGAGGGAGCATGGGGAAAGCACTCACGTTGGCTCGCTTGGCCGCTTGCATCGCCATGGCGCCGGTAGGAGAAAAGCGGCCGCAGCCCCGGAGAGAAACGCGAGGAAGAAGCAGGCCCAACGCCTCAGCAGAGAACCCGGATGCTATCCCAGCCTACACCGCGCCGCAGCGTCAGCCCGCCCAGCCAACGGGTGGCGGCGGCACGTGTCCTGCGCGGCGGCCCCGCCCATGTCCCAGGCCCCGCCTACCGCACCCCCGGCCCCGCCCCGCCGCCTCAGGCGCTGCCGCCAGCCCCAGCGGCTGCGTCCCGCCTCCCCCCCACCCTCCCCCGGCCCTGGGGGCCCCGGCGGCCCCGCCGCCTCCTCAGGGCCTCGGGAACGCGCTTCTGCGAGGGGAACGCGGCCGCCGGGCCGAAGCTCCTGTCAGGGGAGCGGGCACTGAGGGGAACTGGGCGCCCAGGCGGGCCGGCGGGGCCTGCAGCCTTCTCTGCGCCGAGGCGTTGTGTTTACTTGTCCAAGACGCGATGCCGTAGCTGCAACGGGAACCTTTTTATTAAGTGCGTCCTGCAAGTCACCACTTTACCCCTCCATTTCGACATCATTACGGCTTCGAAGCAGAAATGGCAGATGCTCTGCTTGTCAAATACCTGTAACAATTCTGTCCCTGAAACAATTACCGCAGTAGGCCTTTCTTTAGGATTAAGAAGGCATTCTGATGACAATTTTGCCAATATTCTTGTTTTCTTCCATAAGCCTGTGCGCCTCTGCAAGCTCGTGCAGAGGGTAAACACTGTCAACAAGTGGTTGGAGATGAGGGGAAGTTCCTCCAGAAAAATACGGCAGCACATCTTCCGTGAAGGCTTTCACCAGCTGTTCCTTATACTGAAAAAAAAAATGAAAGCATTTTTAAGATTATTTCCAAGCATTTCATTCACAGAGGAATCTCTCAGCGCAGCATACAAAATGTGCACAGTTCTCAGGGAGACTCAGTCATTTGCACACTGAGATGGACATATAAATATCTGACAGGTATAAATTACAAGCAAGAAGAAAACTTTTAGATTAATTATATCTTAATTTGATTAAATTCTCCAAACGTAGTATAAGCTCAGTAGAGGAAACATTTAAACTCACACTGATAAAATGCTTGAGAATAATTAGACCACAGACAGAATCTATCCTAGGGCTCTGCACTGTTGTCTTTTACTGTCATATCTGAGAACTTTCCACATAAAGTGATTTTTTCCTTGGTAATTTCTGGGCATTCAAATGGCCTCCGTCTCTACTTTTAAAAATTATTTTACAGTGTTTTTTTCTCCCCACCCCCCCACCCCTGGCCCCGATTTGATCAAGTTGCCTGATCACTTGAGTTTTGTTTTTTCTTAGGCCAAATCTTTAGATTATGGTACTCATGAAGTACATTAAGAAGTCCTGGGTATCATTCCTCTGATTCACTAGTTGTAAAAGGGAGGCATGTGATGAAAATAGAAAAGGGAAATTATTTAATTTTGCAATATTTTCCAAAGTACGTACTAACAGTTCAAGGTGGTGCTTTTTTGGTAACAATGTGTTAGATTCTGCTTTAACATTGGTATCAAAAGAAAACACAAAACTATCATCAATTTTAGGATCAAACTGTATATATTGTTGATAGCCATTACTTGCCTCCTTGTCTCGTGATCGCAATAGACTTGTATGGATGCTCGCTCTTTTGGAAAGCAGCCTTGAAAGCAAATCTCCATGTACTTCACCTCCACCCAGTAGTCCATAAATAATCCATCGGCCATCAGTACTCAGACAGTTGAGATTCTTCTCCCAGTACGAGCCACCAACACAATCTAAAATAATATCTACTCCAGAACCTCAAGTAGAAACAGAAAAGATTTCAGCAATGTAGTCAAGCTGCATTAAAGGCAGGAGAATTTCAGGTAAAACTAAAACCTAGTTCTTTATAGGTACAGAATCAATCCTGCAATTCTTATTTAAATCTTTCTATTGAATTTAGGAACTGGTACAATGATTTGTAAGGAATACTAGAATGGGGCACAAAAAGAAATCATTATAGATATCCAGTTGCAGACTCCGCCATAAACCATCCCAAAAGCTTAGAAAAGCTAAATTTTCCCAACAGTAAGAGAACTAAGTTTTGTTCCCATATTCAAACACTTACAAAGACAAGTGTGGGGATTTGGTCCCGCGGTCTCTTATGGAGGCAACAGTAACACAGGCACAATATTTATGCCCCAAATGAACACAAATCCAAAGAGAGTCCATGTGGAAAACAGCACAATTAACACCAAGGAAAGATCGATTCTTGAGCTGAGCAAGATGTTAGGTTGTGCTAACAGGGGCATTGCTGTCTGCTCCTTCAGCGACTAAGGGGACAGTTGAAATTGAGTGTATGTGCATATACGTTAGGAGGTAGACACTACTCCTCAGCTGTAACTGTCTTTCACGTAGAGGTTCTTACCTTGGGTGAATGCTAAGACCTTTTCACTGAAATCTTCATTCTTGTAGTTGAACCCTGCAGCTGCTCCGGCATTTGCTGTTGCTTTCAGTTTCTCTTGAGTTCCTGCTGTCACGATGGGAATAGCTTTTGCCAGTCTTACCAGCTGAATGGCTGCCATGCCAACTCCGCTAGCTCCAGCGTGGATCAACACTCTCTCGCCCTTCTGTACTTTACCTGGAGGAGGACATAAGGGAAAGGGTTACCTTTTTAGCACCACTTTTGGATTAAAACATGATCGGGGTGGAAAATACTGAAGAAGAAGCTGAAAGAGATACCTTTGCATGGGCTTTGTTTACATCTTCACATCCTTCCTAAAAGAAACAAATCCAGCACTAACACAACTCACAGTGTACTGACAGGACTGCGTTTTACCAACTTCAGCAGAATGACTTTAGCTTGGCCCTGTCCAGTTCTGGGCATTCATGACCAAGCTGCTTAGGCGAGTGCAGTCAGCCTTTTTATACCAGGACTGTCCACTGCCACCAACAGAAAACACAGTCGGAGGATGTTAATACTGAGAAATCAGTCACTCAGCAGTGGAGTTGAGTTACCCAGAAGTGCTCGGTAACATTGAAGGCCAGTTCTACCTTTCATTTTACCATCTTACCAGTTGCCCTAATGCATTAGTTTGTGTTCCACTAATTGCTAATGGAAGTGAGGCACCAGTAGTCCTGGAGGCATGGTCCTATTTTGCTGCAGACACCCAGGAAGGAACACTGCACAAAGCAAGTCTGCATTTCAGGTTAGTGAGGAAAGTTACTTGTTTGTAACTCCTGTTCTTCAGTGGAGCTTTTAGGTGCTACTGCTGGAGATAAGATATTTGAAGAATACAGAAGCATGTTTGTCAACTGAGGAAAACCCTGGCAAGTGCTGTTGTTAGTGCCTGTGTAGCACATTTTCAAAATTAAGAGTGTGAGTTTGTCTGTTTTAAATCAGCTCAGAGGATATTTTACCTACAATTAATGTCTCCCTGAAACAAGGTACAAGAAGATCTTGTCTACTGTAGATCCTCAGGCAATTAGTGAGAAAGTTCATGATATGGTCACACTTGTATCCAAGCCAAATCCTTAGAAGTAGGATGCATTTTCAGTTGTTTGGAGAACATGTGAGTTACTTCAGGGTTTAGGCTTAACGGAAATTTCCATTCAGGCTGAGAAATATAGCCAAAAAGAAAAACTGACCATCTTTGCATATCCTTCCTTGTAAATACGCAATCAGCAGAGTAAGTTGTGACTGGGGAGATGTGGTAAAGATTTCAGAATTTGGGTCTGGCATACTGGATTCTCACCCGTGTGAATGGAGTGACAGAGAAAAGGTTCTTCAAAGGCAAACAGCATTCAGATAGAGGCAACAAAGAGAGGATTTCATAACAGAAAGGAAGACGAGCTGTTTTGGTGGGATAGATTTGTAAATACGCCTCTCACCTATAAAATGCAGCAGCTGAAAGGCTGTTAACCAGGCTTCGGGAATGGCTGCAGCCTGAATAAAAGTTGTATCACTGGGAATTGGCATCAGGTAGCCTTCGGGCACTGTGACGTATTCTGCCTGGCCACCTCCGGAGAGCAGAGCCATCACTGCATCGCCAGTCTTCCACCGGCCCTTGCAGCCAGGTCCGAGCCCAGCCACGCTCCCAGCTGCTTCTAAGCCTAAAATCTCACTCGCTCCTTTGGGGGGAGGGTACTTCCCTCTCCTCTAGAACAAAATAAAAGAGAGGGCAAAGAAGGAGAAGCCACACATCAAGTAGTGTAATGACCTGTGATATTTTACTCATATGCCTCCAACTTAAATTCCTATTTATTTAATCCTGATTTTGTACTTTGCAAATGTTCCAGTAATTTGAGGATCTTATATCCTCTGGCAATACTTCTTGTTTCCTGTTTTATTCTTAAAACTCTATGCACAAATTTAGTCTGTTGTGAGTCCCCTTTTGTCCACGCCAATCCATGCTGGGAGGGTATTATGGTCTCCCGTTGCAGAGCATGGCTGTCAGCTCAAATTAAAGCAGCTCAGACTTAACAATTTGAATGTGATTTTCCCATGCTGGAATTGAGCCAGTAGAGCATTTCATGTTCGCCTCAAATACCCAGAGAATGGTCTAAGCATCTAGAAAGAACTTTGGTTTTACATCTTTTTTTGAAAGGCCTTTCCATGCCACTCTAGCACTGCAGAGACCCAGATAAAAATATTCATCTGCTGAATCAGCAGACATCTCTTCTTTCAGCCTGGTGAACTCTCCCATCCAAATGCTCACTAGATCCAATCTCTTTTAACTCTTCAGATTTCTCAAGACTTCAGTTAGGGGCTTGAAAATTTGGTATAGTTTTCAGGTGCATAAAACTTCTTAACATATATATACCTGGAGTAAATCAGCTCTATTCAGAGCACTGGCAGAGACCTTCACAAGAACTTCTCCTTCTCCCGGATGTGGTTTCTTCACTTCTTTCACATAAAGATTTTCTGGTCCTCCTGGGCAATCGAAATAGGCTGCCAACATTTTATCTGAAAAAAAAAAATCTAAACCAAAAAACCTGGCATCAACGCAGGCACACTTACGTGCGGCTAGAAAATCTCAGTAAGCAGTAACCGCATCTCCACAAGCTCCACAGACTCCACTCTGCAGACAGACAATGCAAACTGTGACACAGTTTGAAGGCAGAAGAGGGGAGGGCTGCCAGAGAAAGCTGAGGAGTTATAATGCAATGAAATACATTAACATTGGGACACAACATACCGTTGCAAAAGCCGTTTGACAAACGAAGAGCACTTTGCACCAAGTCATAGGGCTTAACTCTGCACAGAGCTTTCCACCCACCTTAATTATAAAAAGTAGCATGCAAATGAAAATAAAATCCTTTGTTCTTGACCTCCTGCATGATTAGGGCCCCAGTGCTCAACTGACTAAAGGACATCGGCCCTTAACATAGTAGACACAAATGGGATTTTAAAACTTTCAGTAGAAGGAGCCTTTATTTGACACCTCTGAAGTCATGGAAGTGCTGTCTCATGGTTCAGCCCACAGATAACAACTTGATGATCCCCAAAGGCATGATGGTGAGTTAATGCGTATAAAAGATAACAAATGGGTTTTAAAATTCTTATTTATTTCCCTTGCCTCAGCAGGTGATTCCTGTGTGCCTGATGTGCTCTGCTGGAGCGTCCTGCTGATGCAGGAGTCTTTTAGGTAACTCCTCAGACAAGGTTTCTGGATTCCTCAGTTTTGGCACCAGCAGCTGTTGAGATAAGCTGAGCTGTCAAGCCTCCTCCCACCTGGCACAATCAAATCTGGAGCAGTCTTCCCTTTTTTATCCCCTGGGTGTGTTGCAGTTACCTTAACAAAATAGCTTGAATCCTAGAATATTATTTTGATTTTAGTTTAAAATATGGATTTGATTTAAAATGAAGCTATAGTTGCTATGAGAACATATGATATCTTAAGATCTTAGGAGCAACTAGCATTGTGTTTGCCTCGATTACTATGGAAATTGTTATGGACTCTGTATCAAAACAATGGGTACTGATTATGGATCTTGATTTGAAACAATAGGTACCAGAAGAAACTGGGTTTGGTTGGGAAGATCAGCCAATGATAAAATGAGCATGCACAGGGATGGAGTTCAATCAGCGGACACAGTGATAAAGACTATCATCGACCACCAGAGGACCCCTGTCCAACATAACCATGCATGTGTTAGAGACATTTTCATATGATAATGCTTTCCATGAAATAACATGAATATGCTAATCATTGCCCTCCCCTCATTCTATTCAAATCAATCAGTAAAAATGACCAATGATTTCTGTAGAATAGGAATATAGGTAAGGTGAGGTAACTGAAAGCCAATCAGTATTAAGGTCAAACTAAACTTTGTGAATTTTGTTGATCTTATGTAACCATGACTCTGCTGAAAAAGTGTATAAATATGTTGTGCTTTGTACCTGTCGGTGAACACGTCTTTGGCGGAGTTATCCCCCGTGTTCCCCAGCGCTGGAATAAAGAAGTGGCTGCTTATCTGCTTTGTGTAGTTAAGTTCTATTCGTGACTGCAACCACTAACAGGTGCTGGGCGGCAGGAGATGAGAAGAGAGAATCCCAGCAGGAACAACTATTACTTCCTGAGAGCTGGTACTATACTGAATACAGTATATGGCTGCTGCCCAAAGACATGCACAGGGTGGGCTGCAAGCCAGAGCCTCTTCAATTAAACAGCACTGTGTGACAGACCACCATGCCCACTGTAAAAATCACTTGCATTATGATATCTGCACAGGAAAAGTGAAGTACATAATTTATTATTTGTTGTAAGACTGCAAATGTGGAATGATAAATACTCTGAAACCCCAGGAATGTAAATCCCCATGGGGTGGTGCTCTATGGCTATTTTATGGTGAATAAACACTTCCAATTATCATATGAAATGTAACTTAAAGGCTTTTTGTTGAGAGGCTATTTGTTATTTTCAGCTGAACCATTTAATCCACTCCCACAAAATCTGTATGTACAAAAATTTAATGGGAAGCCCACCAGATACCGCACCACAACAGATGCTTCTGCTCTCTTAACTGTGTCCAAACTTAGTCAATTAAAAATAAGATGCAAAAGCTTTTGTCCCTCTTCTGACACAGTCCACTAACCTGCATTTTTATAAATGCTTGTTGTTGTTGCTAAAAGCAAACCCACAATATATATATAGTGAGGATCTGAACACCTACATTGCTTTCAAAGGCACAGAAAACCACAGGAATTGAAAAGCAAGTTTCCACCCAAGTGCAACAACTTCAAACTGTGAGATCTGCCAGCAGTGGCCCAAAACAACAATTTAAAGAAGTTATATGGTTTCCGAGCTCAATTTGTGACTCACCTTTTTCCTGCAAAGTAGGGAGGGCGTTCTCCGCACCGGGAACAAACCCTCGGGAAGAGAGTCTGACCCCAGTTCCTCCTCTCCCAGCTCTGCCCTTGCTTTCAGCCATTCCCCAGTACGTCAAGGGGTGGAGCAGGACGAGGTTGTGTTTTACTTCAGAGAGACAGACATGAGCAGAGTCAGAAATACTAGAATACCTGACCAGTATTTCTACCCACGGGCCTGGTTTATTCCACGGATTGAAGCAGAAACCTACTTTCCCCTCCGGCATCGAGGCGGAGATCCGCCGCTGCCCCCGTAACACAGGGAGGTTTGGTCTAATGCCTTTGCTGTGCAGAGCCACTGGATGCATGCCTGTTTGTGTGTTCTCCGGCAGAACTGAACTGATGCTTTGATTTCTGAACTCTGAGTAGTGCAGACCAGATTTACTTAAATTGTGTTAAGGGCATGTGAGCTGTAACAGTCTTTATGCTGTGTATCCACCTGAGGAGGCTTTCTTGTGCTCTTGTTCCTGTACGACAGCACTGGTCAAAGTTTACTGGTTCACGTCCGTCAGCCCAGTGCATTTCTACCTGTTGTTTTAGCTGCCTGATCACACCTCTTTGTTGAGTTTTGCCGTTTCCCCCAGAAGGAGGATTAGATCATGCCTTTCTCTGTGTTCTAGTCGCCAGCTCTTGAGTTGTCAGGGAATAAAACTGACACTTCAGAGTACTTAAAAATGATAGATCATATGTCTGTCCATGTATGTGATTCTTCTGTGGATTTTTTCCTATGAATTTTGAGATTTTTGGATTCAGGCTTTTAAACTCTTCTTGGAAACTAAACTAATTTAGAGTCAAATATAGCTATGTTCTCATCTGACCCCAAGAGCTAGTAATTTATTTGTTTCTTCAGAGGAAAAGATAATGGAGCCTGGTCTTCTGGAGACTGCTCTTCACCTGGTGATGAGGCAGAGCCGCAGCTGTCCCCTCTACAGTAATGGGTTCACTCAAATATGAATTCTTTGATGTTTTACAGTACACACAGTCTGACTCAAGCCTGGTAGTGATGTCCCTCCTCCCAGAACTCTGCAATCTACTACAGTTTAAAATAACTTTCTATAGCAATTACAATGCAAATTGACATGTTAAAAATGTAGTTTATTTGTAATATTGAAAGATGCACAAGACAATCTGAAATCTGCTAATATAACAATGTTCTTCGTCCCTTGGGTCTACATATAGCTTTATATGCTCTGAGAGAAGTTTCTTTGCATAGGAAGATTAATAATTTTCTTATCTGGAAACAGGCTAAAAGACAACATTACAAAGACTAAGCAGAACATCTTAAACCAAATCTTGAAGCCATTACTTTCCATTTAGTTAAGAAACTTTGAAGATAGATGCATAGAGTAGTCTTCTTATGGGCAGTGAGTCCTCATGTGTTCTTGAAAAAACATGAGGAAACTCAGCAGCTGCAAAGTTGTAAAGCAGTAGTTTTTCTCTAAAACTGGATAATTATTCAAAATTCTATATTTTGTCCCGAGCAGTCCTTCTGTGGTTGATGAAATTCAAGTTTTCTGTTGATTCAGCTACCTTTCTCTCTAAAGTAGTCTGCTATAATAACACAAGGAAAAAAAAAATCAACTATGATAAAAATCACATACAGAACTGTTGTAATAAAGATGCTTTTTTTAAAGTTAAAATCCACCTCAGACTATACTGTACTTGAAAGAAGACAGTTGTATTTCTAGCTGAAAATTAAAAATACTAATACCTACATTCATGAGGTAATATCTGTTTTAAAGAATAAACACTGAGGACTCTAAATCATTTTCAGAAATGTCTCATAACTTTCAAAGAAAAGCAACTTTGTTTTCTTTTTGCAAAGAAATCATCCAGAACAGCAAGCATAAACCCCAGAAAATACACATTTTCAAAATCACTGCAAATCTGGTCCTGGTAACACTTGGACCTTAGACTTTACTCGGGAACAGTGGCCAATTACGGACTATGTGACTGCAAGACCAAGTAACTTGTGTGCAAATTGTTACAGGATTTTCCAAGTGTTGGCATTTTTTGCAGTCTCCCAACTTTACACTTCCTGCCTTCCTCCCATGGCAGCAAAGAAGCTAGAATCAACTGTGATATGGCTCCTGAACCTATTCCTGAGCCAGACGGACAGACTTGGGGCTAAATAACACAATGGCACCTTTTGGATCTGCTCGAGCTCCATTTGTAGTGCTGCAGAAAATGACTAGGATAGAGCTAGTCTGAAGTTAGCTTAAAATATAAGGCCTAGTTCTTAGATTTAGTGAGTGTCATTAATGCTGCCCTACATGGAAAGAATCCCTTGAAAACACTCCATACCCAGAAAGACCATTCTGGTTTGGCAGTATTTCATACCTGTTCTGACCTAGTGATTAAAAATTCCTACTGATGTTCTCATTAGACGTAACCCAGCGGACGTTGCTGAGGTTACTGCTTGAAGCTATTTGTCCTTACCTTCTGCCAAATGTTACCAGGATGGGAAATCTCCCTGTTCCTCAGTTCATAGCCCAGCACATAAATGTTCCCCAAAATTCGTATAATTTGAAGTTAATGTCCTGGCCATACATGTCAGTGACAAAGACCAGTGCCTAGTCCCTAACAGATCCATCACGGCTGCTAAATATGACAGGGATGTGGCAGTCATGTGGAGTGCAAGAAGATCAAAGCACTGTAGACAGTGCAGTGCTGGTACAATGGTTTTGTGCTCAACCTGCACTGAGACACTGACAAATACAATGGCCAAGAAAAATAGAAAGCAGAACATAACATAAAGCAGCCTGAGATTTCACTGATAGTTGAGGCTGAAATGAACAAAGGAAAGATCAAAAAAATGTGGGCAATCCACTTACCTCTTCTCCTGGCCTGTCTGCAGTCAGATCCACTTTGGTTAAACAAAGTGCAGGGTCTGTGAAGTGTGAACTGGAGAGGCTGCACTGGAGGTCAGTCCGTGCCAGCCTGGCACCAAGCACAGACCTGCCAGCCACAACTAGGCTTCTGAGGGGCCAGCAGGCAAGTTTGTTTTAAAACTCACATTATAGCCTATAAAAATCCTGTCATTTAGCATAGTTCTTTGAATTGTAAAACCTTTTTGAAAAAGGTCTGAAGAAAAATTTGCTACTGAGAGCCTTACAGCTCATTCCAGACAAAACAGCTTATGCCCCAAAACACAAATGCATTCCACTTACTTTTAGGCATCTAAATAAGGAACAAAAGCTAGGAGCAGAGTGGGCATACAGTTTAATTCCTTTTCAGTCAAAGGAGATGGGCATATCCATAGATTAAGTCGGATCCTATTGCTCTACAAAACATTCATTAGAAATTCCCTAGAATTACACCTACAGTGAAAATCAAGGCTATTATGTGAATCTGCTCTTGTGCGTTTTATCCATTTGGATGATGCGATAAAATGATTGTATCCTTGATATGAAGTGAGTCATCTATTACATCAATAAGTTATGTAACACTGTTATTTATCTCTCAAACCAAGGATAATAAAGAGGTGTTATTCCTTGCCAGCTCCTCACACAAAGGGAAAGCTACATTTGAGATGCAAGCATGATTCTGCAGCTGGTCTGCAAGGGCCTGGGTTTTGATATATTCCTGAATGGGGAACAAAGAGCTGTTAACACTGTCTTCAAAACACTTGAGCCCAAGAGAGGAACTTAAGAGGACTCACACAAAGGAAACTTGAGCTGGAGAGGGAAGGAAATGGGCACTTTCATTAGAAAAGAGGTACTTTGTTATTGTGAGACAGGGAAAATAGCTTTCGTGATGTCTCAAGATTCACATGTAGGAAAAGAGACTTCAGCTTTTTTCTAGACACTAGGCTTTCTAGAGAAAGTTTGAAACTTTCAGAGAATTCGTGTCATTGAAGAAGTGGACTGTGAGTATCAAAGCTGATGCTCTACAAAAGTTTGCTTAAGATCTCAGCATTAGGCATATGAGGTCAAGAAAATGTGACTGTCAGGTCCCATTTTGTTGAAGGGTAACTAACAGAAAACATGTGCCAGAACAGCCAAGGAAAGGGAGTTCTGCAACCTGTTCATACCGATAGAGGGTTTGGAGCACGTGTACCTATCACAGTGGGATGAGATGTCAGGGGAGGGTTTAGCCATGGAGCAGTAACCCATGTCTATATTCAGTTTCCCAGATTTTCAGGATTTGTTAGTTCATCATGTTACAATTTACAAATACCCTAATGAAATAGCTTGAATTTTAGAATATGATTTTGATTTTTGGTTATATGGGTGATATAGAGTTATAGTAGCTATGAGAACATAGGGTATGTTAAGATCTTGGAATGAGCAACTAGTATTGTGTTTGCCTCGATTACTATGGAAATAGTTATGGACTCTGAATTAAAACAGAAACTGGCTGTGGTTTGGGAGATCAGCCTAAAGATGAAATGAGCATGGGGGAGAATGGAGTTCAACCAGCAGACACAGTGAAGAATACTATTGATGACCACCAGAGGACCCCCACCCAACATAACCATGCATGTATTAGGGACATTTGCATATGATAATGATTTCCAGTAAATAACATGAATATGCTAATCACTACCCTCCCCTCTTTTATTTTAATATCAAGGATTACAGCCAGCAAGGTTAACCAATGATTACTTAAAATAGAAGTATGGATAAGGTGAGGTAATTGATAAAGCCAATCATTATAAAGGTCAAATTAAGGAGTGAGCATTCTATGCATTTTTGAACCATATGTAACAATTACTCTGCTAAAAAAAAGTGTATAAATATGTTGTGCTTTGTACTTGTTAGTGAACATGGCTTTGGTGGAGCTATCCCCCATATTCCCCATCGCTGGAATAAAGAAGTGTCTGCTTATCTACTTTGTGTAGACGCATTTTCTTTGTGATTGCAACTGCTAACAATCAGATTCATTTTTGAAGCTGTTTGCAAGGTGGAGCTAATCAATGAGATGCCATCATGCAGGCACACAAATACAGGCATTTCTCTTACCTAGTTTCTCCACAGCTTCCACACACACACTGGGATACATGCCCGTTCTGTAAGTAGCAACCAGGATGAAAGTCTTTGTCTTCACAACTATCAGGCCTCCATCTGACTAGGTAAGATGGAAAATTGGTATAAGGTTACAAGTTTCTAAAAAAATACAGAGGTATACATATTGCCTTCCAATTTGGCCAATTACAAGCATTTTCTTTGCCAAACTACCCATTTTCTTGGGGAAGAAAAGGCAAATACTGTCTCCAAGTCTAAACCAAGATGCAGACAGTGACAGTGCATGCTCTGAAAACTGCTGACCATTAAAGCAAGTCAGTCAAATGCTTTATTATATTTCCTATTCTCACTTCCATTGATTAATGTATTATTGCACAGCATTGTGAAGAAGTGTTATCCTAGTGCTCAATGTCATATGAAAAAGCACTGTTAAATCAAATAACTAGTATTTACATGAAAGCACACCCAGTGTTTTAGGAACCCTGCCTCCCAAATTCTGCCTCACTCATTTGTAATAAAGAATGGAAAAAGACATTGCGAAGTATTGCAATTTTCTGAAACAGCATCCAGATTTAAGAGCCACTCAGCCTATTCTGCAAGTTAACTCATTTCAGGATGGATTTACTGGGGAGGGGAAGAACTAAGAAGACCCCCAGTAACAACCAATTGGATGTATTTATTTCAAATTGTGCGACTCGGCTGTAGTAACAAAATTCTGCCATCTTGAGCATGGCTGCATGCAGCTGTGACCTCAGTCTCTGTTTCTGGGGCCATAGTAATCCACAGATGAATTCCTGAGGCTCGAGTCCCACAAGGCAAGTAAGCTGTCAAACAAGGTCTGGCTCCCCCATATCTCTTTTCTCCCCCCACCCGGTTACATGCTCCTGCTACCTTACTCTGGCCCTCCTATTACCTGATTAATTAGTTAATGAGGCGAGAAACCAACCCAGAAAAAAAATGAAGTGATAGTTTTTTCTCAAGGAAGGAAGGAAGGAAGGAAGGAAAGGAAAGAAGCACGTGAATGTTTTCTGCTTGTTTTATGGTATTCACGCAACCAGGCAGCGAGGGAAGGAAGTAGGAAGTCTCCAGATTTCTCAGGATGGCCACAGCTCTTGTCAACGTACATTCTGAAGATAGATGGAATGCTCATCCGCGCGGACACATTTATAGTACTTCTCCTTGAAGTAGAGTCCTCCCCTTCTAATTTGCACTAAGTTCTTGTAGAAAGCATAGATAAGGTTTAAGGCATTCTCTGGTGGTACCTGTGTTAATACAACACAGTGTGATGGAGCAAAAACGCACCTGTTTGCCGTGATGAACTACTTTCCACCCTCCCACTGTCTTTGACAATTCACTTAAAATCATGAGGTTAAAAAAAAAAAAAAAAAAAAAAGAAAGAAAAATAATCTGCCTGGCTTTCAAACTAGACCAAGTTTCTGTACAGTCCACTATATTTTCAAAGTCTCATTTGAAACAATCTGCTTAGTCTGTAATTACTGTCTGTGTAGTCCCATTACTCACTGACACTTCTCTAGGCAGGCAGTGTGCCCTGTGGCATTCAGGCCCTTCTGTGAAAGGCGCTATAGGGTAGGACACGGCCTTCCCTGGGCTTGCACAAAGCCCACTCAAGGACTCCAATTTCAAATATTCTTAGTCTTCAATGGGAAGTGTAGCTTTTAGCAAGTCCAGACTAGATCATCACACCTCAATGGAACAGTCTACACAAGCCACAAATCTATTCATGTCAGTGAGCTCTTGGGCTCAGTGTATGTGCAACTGGTCACTGGTTTGGCAGATTTATATTCAGCTGGTTGGATGAGATGATCCAATGATCCCTTCTGCTCTGAAATTCTTTCAAGTCAGTGGAGCTGGTGATAATTTACACTGGCTGAGGGTTTTACTCTGGACCTCAGCATGTAATCTGCCTTGCTGAAGATGCAGCAGGCTGACATCTCTAAAAGCTGTGGTTTATACTAAAGATAATTTATATATTAAAGACAATGTCACTACTACCTAGTGGACTGATAACTCTGCTGAGATTCTCTCCCCAGGGATGGGACTATCTTAACAAGAGCATCATCTTCTGAACACATTCTTCTGAGCATGCCAAGGGTAGCAATATGTACCCCTGGAAAAACTGTCTGGAATTGTTTGAGAGCTGGTATTGTGGGGATTAAGAGTGGACCCAGTACCTTCCAACAACATAAGGATGACTGTGGTGTGGGGAGCATTTCTGAACTCCTAGAGAGTTCACAGACTCTGTCAGGGAGTGTGTATTAGTTTTGCCATGTAGTATGGTATGACCAGATGTGCTATTATTCTGCTGTTTGTCAGCTGATGGACAATGAAAACAGATAAGCTACATCCATACCAGCAAATTTAAGGTGCCAGGGAGCAGTTATGAGTACTGTCAGAACAGTCCAGGTAGAGTTTTGACCTGGGCCAGCAAGCACTTTTCCAAACAATTCCAACGCACAGTTTGCAAAATCAGAATGGTCCAGGACTGCTCCCCATGGGCACCCTGCTACAGCCGCTCTGCTTGGGGTTACAGGGTGGGCACAGGTCACTCCACAACAGCAGGTCTCAGTGCCAGAGGATGGTCCTACATACATCTGCTTTACCAGCAGAATTATTGAGCGCAAAGTGGTTAAAAGGGACTCCTTGAAAATGCCAGTAAAATGGCATCTTTCTCTCAGAGATCACAGATGTGGAAGTAGCAATCATCTCCACAAGTTAGCCTCTCAGCACAGCAGCTAGGCTGGACCCCTGTAACTCAGTCTCAGAGGCTGAAAGAAGCAAGTGTATTTAGCAGAGCACTCTGCTCCCTGCCACTATTGCTACTTTGTGCTCGAGATTCCTGGAGTTTCTACCTCTGCTGTCACTTCCTAGGATGCTCTTTGATCTCTTACATTAAAGCCAAAGGTTGATGCACAGACTTCTCTTTCTGCTATGTTGATGATAGCTGCGTTTTCCACATGTTTTGTTCTGATAAGACTGTCATTTAGCAAAGCCTGCAGCTGGTTCATTTTCCTTCTCTTCTGTAAAAAAAGAAATAGATGTATAAATGTTCATTCCCCTTCCCTTTTATATTGGAAACCAGATCTTCCTCTATGTGGAATTCAGGAGTTTCTGCAGAAGTAATGCTAGGTTTCAGATAAACAAAATAACAAAATAAAAATCCTAAACCCAAGAGAGCAGCAGAATAGACCATCAGGGAAATGGTCACCTTTCTCAGAAAGGCTGTAAAAGTCCAATTATATTTTTATAGTGTAAGTGTTTCTGATTTCTTTTTTTCCTGGAATTTGAATATCTGAGGCAACTGTTCCCAATGAAAACACTAAGAAATGAGATAAAACTTGCTACAACCAGCAGATCAGAGCAGAAATAGGGGGGTTGTGTGTGGTTTCTGGGCCAGGCTTGACACAAATCAAAAATTATTTTCTTTTTAAATGATCAGCCCTAACATGCTTATTGTTAGACCTCTGGGTCAGTGCAACACTACTGGGGTGCTGCTTGGGAATAAGCCTTACATTTCTCTCATGAGATGGTACCGCTGGCTGTCTGCCTAAGTAGCAACAAGAAAAGGTAGATGCTGATTAAGTCTTCAGAGAATTGCCAATAGGCATCTTGTTTACTTCAAAATCCTGGCCAGCTGCTAGGTCCTGGCAAAAATTGCAAACCAACAGTTCTGGTTGTGCCCAAATCATAATTAATTAGTAGAGAAGTAGTATTTTCTTCTAGCTAGATCACAGCCATATCATACATCCAATTTGAGTTTCAGGTTTAGCTTCATGAAGTCCATATTATACGGTGATTTATGAAATCTTGTAATAGAATTTAGTAAACTATGGATAAACCTTGTGGCTTTATTGCTACGTAACCTAGAAGGGCTTAGTTTACAGGGGAGTATTGGAAATTACATTAATATTGCAACTAAAGCTAACAGGCTTATCAGGCAGCGTGGTGAATGGCCTGTCATGGAGACATCTGGCTTGAGCATTTATTAAGTCCTGAGCAACGAGGAGGTATTTGAATTATGAAGAAGAGGCAGGAATGGTGAGAGGGGCTCACGGCCAGTCGCCAAGGCCCGCTGAGGCGTCTCCACGGCAACCCGCCCCCCGGGGAGCGCGACTGCGACTGCGCACAGCCTCCTAACCTCCCCATCCGCGCTCTCGAACTACTACTCCCGGCATGCTTCGCTCCGGGAGACATGCGCGAGGATGCTGGGAATTGTAGTCTGCCGGCCTCTACCTGAAGGATGGCGGGAGGCGCTCGACTCGGCGCTGCCTGTCCCTCACCTGCCCTGGAGGCCGGCTGCCCGCGCTCCTGATTGCCTCGCTCACCCAGGCGCTGCCTTCCTGATTTTTATGAAGATCTACCCACGACGATGGAGTCCGGGGGCGGGCGCCCAGGTTCGGGTTGCCATGACAGCGAGGGACGCGGGGCGGACGGGCGTGGAGGGATCCGGCCGTGCTTCCGTCTCACCCCGCCTCTACCCGTCCCGGGCCGCCAGCGGGTGCTGGTCCTACAGCCGAGGAGCCGAGTGGCTGTCCCCACGGGCGGCCCTTCCTCTTCTCGAGAGCGTGGGGGTGATGGGGGAGGGAATGTTTTATCCGGCCGAGGGACTATTTTCTACGGCGGAAGGAAACGCGTTGTGAAACAACTAACACTCCTGGGGAGGGGACGCCGCCATGTTGCTCGTGGCTGGGCTTTGACGTGCGGCGAGGCAGTTGCTCCCACCGCAGCCACTTCTCGCCTCCCCTCAGGTCTCCCGGAGCCTCGCTGGAGCCGGTGAGGGGACTCCGGCACGGGGGTGCGGAGGCCGGTGGGAGCGCGGGGCTCCGCTGCCTGCCCTCGTCTCCCTTGGGGCCTGTGGGGCTCGCCTCAAGGCTGGGCTGGGCCCCTGCGGCCCTGAGGGGGCCCTGCCTTTCCATCTCACCGGTGTTGCCCCCATCGCTGCTACCGCGGTGGAGGGGCCGGGCCTGTGGGCCCTCTGGACGTTTGCCTGTTGTTTGTTGGCTTAGCCTTCACAAACTACTAGGTTCTGTTCATAGAGGTAATCTGTTTGCCCTAGGGGCTGGTTCTCACCTCGTGCTCTGTCCCAGTACCTGAGGGGATCCGAGGGGACCAGGCCACCAGTAAAGACCTGTAAAATCTGTGCTTGCAAAGGGTGACAGCCCTCTGTGCTTAGGAGATGGTGACTTGAGCCTATAGGCATGGCCAGCATAAAGGCTTTTGTCAGAAAGGTGATTTTGAGAGGACTGAGGCATGTGTGAGGATACTTACATTTTGTCACATAAATGATTAAAATTGTCTTCTCAAAGCTGCTGTTGAGACCCGTGTTTGGGCAGAGACTGAATTTTAGCAGATGAGTGAGTGGGGGAGAGCATTCTGCTTTAGTGAACAGGACCCATGAAGCAAGAGAAACCTGTCTTAAAAAAAAAAAATACTGATACAAACCTATACTACTGACAGCAAAGTAGGATGCAGGTATATCTGGCAAGAAATTTTAGGCAGGGTTATTCTCAGGTTTGATCGGAATAGAATAAATGACCTAATAGAGAACAGCCAACCTGTTCATGGGGTTTAGCATTTGTGGACACAACTGTTAGATTAAATTCAAATCTTGTTTTACCTGTTCAGGCTTTGGAAATATTTCGCTGTGTTTCTGTCTCAACACATGATTAAACTTTTAGTTTTAAGACCTGCAAAACAGCTGGTGTCTCATGTAAGTGGTCCCTTCCCTTGCTAACCATGGAGAGTTGACATCTCATAGTAAGAGTCCAAACAAAACAGAAAAGGAAACGATTAAGATGTAGTGGCATCTTCAGTTATTGAGATTGAGGAAAAAAATCTGCAGCTAGAGATTTTACCACATGCTGTTTCTTTAAAGGAGATTGCTACAGCAGGCAGATTTTCTATGTTTGCTCTGTTTTGCCTTTCCTCTGTGATGAGAGCAGATATCTCCTTTGCTTTGTGCTCATGGAAAGGCTCTGTCTTTGTAAAAAAAAAGATGAAGAGTGAGTCTTGGTACTAGTAACTGAAAACAGATAGAAAGGAAGCTAGTGGGGGGTTTTCTTTGTTTTGTAAACTTACGAAAATAGATATTTTTATAGTTTCTTATCTTAAGCTTGTCCAGGGCTTTACAACATCCATGTCTCAGAAAAACAAAACTGCTTTGAGTGAAAGGAAATCTACAAACGATGGCCTGAAGCAGGAGCCTGTGGCACCTTTGCAGGTAGGTAGAATATATTGCGCATAGGAAAGTATGTTGACTTGTCTAATACCAAGTTTGTAGCACCTCCAGTATTTGGATGTTCTTCAGTCCTCACTGTTTGCCTGTTTATTTTATATCAGAAATCAGTTCAGTGCTAATCAGGGTGAGCTTGCTGTTGTTTATCCATGTTGGTAATACAGTGCACAGCCTCCTTTCATCGGTCATTACAGAATGAATAATAAACTGTGAGAATCCTTCCCCTGCTCCTCGGAGACCATGAGGTTGGACATCCTTTACAGCATTCCCTGGAACTTAGTAGACTTGGGCTGTCTGGAAAAAGGGGAGATTGTTTTCAGAGCACGGGATTTCTCACAGGGAATGCCAACCTCCATGGCAGGTACAACACTGCAGAAGCGGTGGGGCACATATACACACACACAAAAAAATCTTAATTTCCAGATGGAGAGAGGCAGGGTACCTGCTTTTCAATTCAGGTAGTAGTGTCCTAATTGTGAGCCCCTGTTTTATTCTGTGTCCTTTGTCTCTGCTGTACAGAGAAGGCAGGAAGTTATGTTAGAGGAAGTTCCTGCTAGCCTGACGCAGTGATAAGGCTAGTATGTATTTTTGGTTTTGGGAGCTGTCTTACAGGGGCTGAAAAAAATACAGTAGAGGATTGAGATGTTGTGACCTGTTCCACTGCAAATCTTTGAGTTTTTATTGTGTCTGATGAAAGAATAGAAATCTTGCAGAGTTATGCAGGAGGGAAGGAAGGTCTTTGATACGATGTGCATTACACTGGCTTGCTTTGGTTAGTCCTGGTATACATGGTAGAAGTGATGATGTTTCTTTTATAGAAGCAGGTGGAATGAAGGACATGAGCTTGCAAATTTGAGGAAGGAAATTTTCAGACCTTGATTGGTTGAGGCCCTGGGCAATCTTGTCTATGAGGTTAGCTGTTCTTGAAGCAGGCAGCAGGACCAGAAGACCTCCAGAGGCCTATTCCAGCACGTGCTTTCCTGTGGTTTCTAACTCTTTCAGTCAGAAAAGACAGGAAGGAGTTTCTGTGAGGAGGCAGGAACATCCAGGCAGATGTGTCTGTCAGTGCATACGAGCAGGGAATATGAAATGAAACAAATAAAGATGTACATTAAAGACTTCACCTTGAACGAATGGTAAGAGATTTGAATGTGCAGTCCAGAGAGGGCAGTTAGGAGTCAGTATCACTGAAGTGCCTGATTGGACAGAGTAAACTCTTAAAAGTTGTCTTGGACAAAAAAATGTTGTTTTCTTGTATGAGTGAGTACCTGTTTTGGAGAGGCTTTGTAATTCTTTTAACTAGCTGTTGCAACAAATAATTGAAGAACAGATTTTTTTCATAGCTGAAAGATCTGGCTGAAGAGTGTGGAGGTCGGTATCTCTGCAGAAGTAAGCTTTTCTTTTGGTCCACTCTTTACCTGAGTGATTTTGTAAATACATCGTTTCCTGGAAACAGTGTGCCTCCAGTGAATATGAAACGAATAGATGTTTAAATGGAGGTTCCTGTAAAGGGCTTTGTGCCTCTGTGGTTCTACTGCCTGTTAAAAATCGATCCAAATATACTGGTTCACGTACAATAGAGGAGATGGAATTTTCTGGCTGGAGCTCAGGGTTAGTGCTTTAGCATAAGCTTCATCTGGTAGAACTAACTTTAAAAACCACTAAAATGCAACCATCCCTGTGGTGGAATGTAGTGGTTATTTGAAAGTGACTTATGTAATGAAAAAGGCACAGAGGAAAGAAGTAAAAGTCAGGAGGTGGAATTTGATAACTCTGAAATGTTTTCAATGCTGACAAGCATTCGGGACTAATTTGTGAATCACTTTGTTCTTTGAAGCACAACGTGCTATCCATTGCTCATGGAGATGAGGACAGACAGTTACTATCAGAGGGAGTATCTGACTTTAAACCTGATACTGCATCTCTCTTTAACTTACTGTGATAGGAAAATTGTGCTGGTATCAGCAGTTAGAATTCCTTTAGAGATTTGTGTCAATGTTTGCTGGGAATTGTAAGAAAACTGGTTCTTGCTGTTTTTACAATAGTTTAATATGGTTTTGAATATTTCAATGTTTTTCCCAGACTAGTCCAACAATGTGTAGTGTGAATAGCTCTGAGACTCCCTGGCTACTAAGATTTACATGTCCGAGAGCTGTGAGAGAACACGATCAGCAAAGGCCTTGGCAGGTGGGTGACTGTCAACATTCCTTCAGCTGTAGATTCTACTGTGAAGAACCAAAGTTCAGGACACATGAAACCATTATCTGTAACTGGGATCCCAGGATATTTCGGTGTAACTGAGCCTCCTGTCTTGAAACTGGTCACCTAATACCACTGAAGTTCTGGGCAGTGATCTGGTCTGTCTGTCTGCACTCCAGGACTGCCATCCCTGGCATGTACCTGAATTAATTTGTGAGTCCTCCTGAGCAGGGACTTTGTGCTTTAGTCTGTCCCTCCTAGGCATGCTCAGAAATGTGTATTACAGGGACATGTGTGTGCTCTGTTCTTCCTGTTAGCTTGTAGATTGAGTCTGTCTAGTGTTCCAGTATTGCATGAATCTTCTAGAGGAATCCCAGAAGTTAATGCTGGTCAGCAGTGTTAGTCATTCAGAAATTGTATCGCGGCCCATCTTATGCATGCATGAGCGGGCTGCTGACTCGGTAAGTGGCGGTCTGGTATTACAATAGGTGCTTAAACTGGGAATGGGTAGAATTGGACCTATATATATGAGTCCTATATATATATTTCTTCAAAGAGTGCCCAAATCATTAAAATCATGGCTTTAAATTGTGATGTCCCAGTCTCCATTGTGTCTGTCTCATCTGTGTGAAATGTTCTCCATCTCTTATCCTGGAGTATTCCTGAGAACTGCTACCGGGATGCTTTGCTGCACTTCCCACACAGAAATAATGAAGTTTGTAAGGCAGCATGCTGCGAAGATGTCAGGTGAACTTCGTACCGTTCTATCCCAGTTTGTAGCTTGATTGTGGAACCTAGATGAGAACCTGATCTTTGTAAAGGAGGTTGGCTTTTTATGCAAGCCTTTTCTTTTTTTTTTTTGCATTTATCCAGAGGTTCTCTTCAGCACCAGCAAAGACTGGTGCAGAAAATACTTTTTGAATACAGTAGACATTTTGAGGAAGAAAAATGTAACCAAAGATGGGCTAACACAGAAGGGCTTCTGTCGTGTGAAGGTAGGAATAGAGGAATGAAATGGAATGGAAGGTATGAAGAGAGGAATGAAAAATGATTATTTGCAAAGTCCTGTAAAATCCGAGATATATTTGTCATTGGGAAGGGGAACAAGGAACTCTGGAAATAGCAATCCAGTGGGTTTTATCAAGCCCTTTCTTCCTTTTGAGGTGGCTCTGCTGACTTCCACGCAGTTTGGTGTGTGGAAAAGTTTTCCATAAAACTTTAAACAAGCTTGTGACTAGTTAGAATCATGGACTTTCAGAACATCCCAGGCTGGAAGGGACCTTGAAAGATCATCTGATCCCACCGTTTGTGGGACAGGGACACTGGGTGAGATTATCTAGCACCCTGGCCAATTGCATCTTAAAAACCTCCAGTCATGGGGACTCCATGGCAGCCCTGGGGAGGTTGTTCCAGTGGATGACTGATCTCACTGTAAAAAATGTCTTATATTGAGATGAAACCTCTCCCAATGCAACTTTTTTTCTGTTGCCCATTGTCTTTTCCATGTGTCTCCTTGTGAAGAGAGAGCTTCGGTCCTCTTTGTAGCCATCCTTTCAGTACTGGGATGCTGTGATGAGGTTCCCCTGAGCTTTCTTTTCTCCAGGGAGATGAGACCTAACTCCTTCAGTTCTAAAAGGATTCTTTAGATTTGTATCATCCTGAAGGAAAACTTTTAACCTGTTCACCAATGCGTGTTCTGAGTGCGTTCTGCTAGTGATTCTCAGCTAGAGAGATTGCCATGCCTCCCTGGTGCTGTTAAGGTACTAGTTTTAGAGAGTTCTGTGATTATGTGAAGTAGATCTGTCAGGTGTAATGCAATGTGCTGGTTGTTTCAAATAGTAGGATGAAAGAGTCTTAAAACATGCCAGAAATTTAGATTTTTCCCCTTTCTATGTATTTTTTTAATGATGCTTGTTTCCTCCTTGCTTGCTCTGATGTATGATGTCCTGCTCATCTCAGGATAAGAAGCCTGTTGGAGTGTGGAGTCGGTCAGTGGGGTCAAGGCAGACATGACTGGAAACTACACTGTTTATTGGGATCAAAAATTAATATTAAGCACAGGGAGTAGCAGGCTAATTTTGCATTCTGTGCATCGGATGCATTCCTTGAGTCTTGTGCTGCCACCAGCATGATAGGCTTGTGCGAAAATACAATGGCTGTAGCTCAGCTTTTAAATGGCACAAGAAAGTCACAGCAGGGATGACTGAATTCACCCGTGGAAACCACAGGAGGTAAGCAGCAGGACAAACAGATGAAATGTGAGTGTTTCAGCCCTACCTCTGGCTTAGGTCTAAGTAAAACCAGGCCACTTCAGGATTAGCTTGTGTTGGTAGAAGTATTTAGTAACGATGTACTGAAATTGATTTGAAGTTTGTGATACCTCAGCTGGCATTAGTGTCTGTGCAACTCTTGTGAAATGCAACAGTGCACTAACTGAGCCATGTTTCTCAGCTGGGGCAGGCTGCGAGCGTGCCATGTACAGCAAAGCATCTAACGTGGTCATTTGTTAAGCTGTAGGAATGCAGTTGCCTGCCTGTTCTCTTAAGCTAAGCTGGTGCAAGGGAAGCAAGTTCCTATCAGTGTCTGAACTGAGGGTTAGTCCCAGAAAGCAAAAGACTGTAAATTTGTTTTAGCTTGACTGAGGTAGTCTGTCTAAAACAGCTTGTGTTTTAGTTTCCTGCATTGCAACGTCCTGGATTTTTGGCATAATGCTGAAAAGCAGGTAATTTTTTTTATAGTGGATTATTCAAGAGAAATTTTGCTGCGGAATTAAAATTCTCTGTGAACTTGTTGCTTATAAAAGCTGCTGATTGACTTCTGAAGACAAGATCCCTTTGGTTAGCCCACAGAGTTGGTGCTGCCTGATCACAGGGGAGGTACCTGCAATGCGTGCGTGTGCTAGTCTTCCCTGGAGGGACTCCATCCCCAAGTGATAGATGAATGTGCTCCTTGGCCAGAGTGCAGGAGTTGCAGCTAATAAGCCAAGTTACAAGGAATTACCTGTGTAAAAATCAAATTGACAACAGCAGTGCATTACAAGCACTGTTGTTCTTAAATAATGTTTTAGTGTCCTGATATTCACAATGCAGGGAACAGTTTCCCCCTATTCTGATCTTCAGGAAGAGTAAGATGAGGATGATGCTAGAGGAGAACTTGGCTGATGTCACACCAGTAACTGAGATTTAAAATGCAGACAAATTCATGAGCAGAAGTAGCAGAGAGGCAGTTTCCTGCTTTGGAAGGGTTTTTCTCATCATATTTCCTCTTACACTTCACTGTTTTCCTCTGTTTTTCCTTCTATACTTTTATGAATTCCTTGACATAATACCTCATCACAGTTTTAATTTATTTAATTGCTATTTGTATTGTGTGGCTATATCTGTATTGAAGAGATGCCTCTTGCTGCCTTCGTCGGGCACATGTGAGCAGCAGTGGCAAGGAGCAAGTGGTGGTGCGGTCACAGTGAGGAGCGGCCAAGGAGGTGTATGGTCTAGTCCTGCTGAACATGGACATTCCAGTTCTTCCAACGCTCTTCTGTTCCTACATTTAACCGAAATATTTAGAGCAAGTCTTACAAGGATTTATCTGCTTGCTGTTCTGCCAGCTGGGTTATGGTATAACGTGCCTTTAGTCACAGCACAAGTAATTATTTTGAATTCAAAGGTAACTCTTAACTCATACTGTAAGTCCTGTTTTTACTTCATGTGGTTTTTTGATGTTTTGTTAGGTAGCACCTGATGAAAGTCGAGACATCGTTGCTTCTGCTCAGTGCATCTTGGACAGAGAAAATTATTTTGTGAGGGTAAGATGTGGTATCTCTTCTCTCATTTGCTGTGTGTTTTCCTGCATGTCAGTGTTTTTTCTCTCCATCAGTGATTCATGAGAAAATGTCAATTGTCTGTATTCTTGAAAAACTAAATTTAGAAATACAAGTTTCTGACTTCCTCAGTCTCCCTGGGATAGGACTGAAGTAGTAAACCTAAATACAAGCTTAGGAATCATCCATCTTTGGTGACTTACTTGCCTGTTTGCACCTAACTTGTTTTGTGGGTGTGATTAGGTGGTGATGGTGGGCCCGTGAATAAAAGATGGGATGGCTGATCTGATCTGGGAGGTGGCCAGGTCCTTCTCCCCGCTACCTGTCTTGCACAGCCTGGTGCTTATCAGACCCCTGCTCTGAAGTGATTTCAGCTCACTAACCTGGTGGGAGAAAATGAATGGTTTTCTGCCAGTCTTACACTACAGCTTAAAAAATTAGAGTCTGAATGCCAGAGCTCGTTCAAGGGAGAGCTCGGAAACAAGCGATGGGAAGTGGAGAGAGGGTGGAGCAGAAAGAAGGGCTGGAAAACAGGGCCCTCGCAGCAGTGACCAGCCAGATCAGGTCAGCCAAGCTGCGTAGCTTTACCCGTGGAATCTTTGATGTGGCTGGCCAATAGGTTGTATGGGTTTTATTTTCCCTTTCTTACTTAGGAGGTGGACAGATATTTGAGGCACAATGATTACTTAAATCTGAGAAAGAAGGAGATCCTGTACAAGAAATGGCTTGAGGATGTTTCAGAGCCACTGCTGCAGAAAATTGAGGACAAAATGGACAGCCAGTCAAATGAAGAAATACGGAAGAGGAAAGAACAACAACTCTCTCTCTATTTAAACTACTGTAAAAAGAAGGTATCAACAAGAAGTAAATTTCTGTCATGGAGAGGCTTGCATACAGAGGGTTGTGGACAAGATCAGGGTTTTAGCTGTTACTTGCTTTTCAGTTGAGTAGCTTGGAGTTCAGATATGCCCTACCTGTAACTTTTTCTTCCCAAGGACTTCTTTAATGTTAACATACATCATTATAGCTGCTTGTTTAAATTCACCATCAGGTATGAACAATAGCATTGTTTGGTGCAGTGAGCATGTGCTGGGGTCTGAATATGGTGAGACACCATGTTGTGGTGGGTTTCCCGCTGTGAGCCAGGCCATTTAGAGAGAAAATCTTGAGCTCTGTCATCTGAAACCAAAGGCTGAGTCTGTGACCAGGGAGTGGACTGCACTCACATGTCTCGGGAGTTCAGCTAGAGCACTACTGCAGTATGTTGGCAGAGCATGAGTGAAACCATTTTGTGGCCTCGGATGCTACTGATCAAGGTTTAGAAAAGAAAAAAAGGTGGTAACAGGGAGAACACAAAAAATTTTCTTAAGTCTGCATGCAGGTGAATAGACCCAGCTCAGATTCTGTAGTTCCATGTGTTTCAGTACTCATAAGAATTGCAGTCACTGTAGGAAATACTTGTTGGTTTTGTTGATTTTTCTCTGAATTTCACACCACTGTTGAGTATCAGATTCCATGACTCACCTTTCTGCATCTCAGGAATGGATATATAGAGCAGTAAGAGCAGTCACATCATCTGCCACAAAGAGAATAGTATTTCTTATAGAGCAGGCTTTTGTTGTCAGTAGAAAGCACTGCACAGTGGAGTTATGAGACGGTAAACGAGCTTCCCATCCAGAAATGAAAATGCTGTGGGAGCTGTGTTGTTTGAATGAGAGCAAGTGGTCTCTTTTTTTAAAGGCCTGATGTGAAAGACCCATGCATTTAAACTGCACGTAATGACAAAGAACTGAAGTCGTGAGATTTAGGACCTGTTGGGTTTGCTGTACATATCTGGGTCTGCATCAGGCCCTCTTGCAAGCTTCTGTATCAGGTCAGGACTTTGCTGGGTGTCCCCCAAAAGCAATGGCTAGTGTACAGGGATATCTCCTTCTCCCTGAACAAGCACAGCACCAGTGATCAGCCTCCACCTTTTCCTCGTGCTCTGTGGTGGCAGTTCTATCATCAGCATTTCTGAAAAGCAGGCTGCAGCCTTTCAGAGTAACAGGACACTTAATTTGCATAAGCTTGTGTTAATCGTGACAGCATATGATAAGTTTTGCAGAACTTAAGTCAATTCTGTGAATTGGTTAATATACTGAATTCAGGCTGTGCGTTTCCCCCCCCCCCCCCCTCCCCTTTCTGTCCATTTTCTCTTGCTCTCTTCCCTGCCATTAGGCTCCTTGTCCTGTTCACCAGACCTCCTCACCTTCATGTGTCTGTCACTGGTCCATTCCCCCTTTCCGTATCTCTTCCTCTTCCTCCAGTCTCTCACTCTCTTTCTCTCTCCAGTCAGCCCTGGAACTCCATCCCCAGCTCTCCTACTGTTTTGCCCATCTTTCTTCTGTCAGACTCCCCAGTGCTATGTCTCCTTCTCCTTGTTGCTTCTGATGATTCTTCCAAGTTCCCCAATGTCCTTAGCTCTCCAAAGCTGCCTTCTCCCCATTTCCTCCATTCTCCTCCTCACCTTTTAAGACTCTCTCTCCTCTCACTGTCCTTCTAGGTTCCTCTATCTCACTCCTCCTCTCAGCTCATTTTTCTGCCTTCTTTCTCATGCAGTCTGAGCCTTCCTGCTTTACCTCCCTTCCTTGACTGTCTTGTTCCAGTGACCTGCTCGTAAGTGGGTTTTTTGCCTTAAACCTGCCTCCTTTTCACTTCTATTCTCACCTTTTCCCTACCCCCAGTCCCAGGGACGTGGACTGCAGATGTACAGTGACATCGTTGGTCACAGCATGAAGATGGCATCAGCTCTACTTTTATTCTGGCATCTGCAGAAGTGCTACGCTGCAGTCTGCAAGGAGGGGGAAGTTTCCCCAGCCTGTGTTGCTGCTGTGTTAGCCACAACTCAGCTTCTGGTAGCCTAGGATATTGTAGGCATTGTGTGCTGGAATGCTGCGGAGTAAGAGACTTCTGATTCGTTTTTAAGATCAGGCAGTTGCTCTGCTGTCTGCCAAGGGGGGTGTGAGCGAGAATACATCGACTGTGTGAGGGGATCAAACATGGGTGTGCTGCACAGCAGCTAGCACAATCAACTGAGGTCTCAGCACATTCTGTAATGGGGTGATACATAATAACAAACCAAGGGGTGGCACTAAAACTCTGCAAATTGAGGCATGTTAGGGTTTAAAGCTTTCCAGGGACAGAAACAGTAGACAGTGAGTGGGGCTGCTGCTTGCTCTCTGTGGAGTTGCCAGATCCTGGGAGCAGAGGCCCCTGAGAGGCAGCAGTGTTCACACTTGGCAGTAGCTCAGACCCTGTGGAGCTGCCCAGGTGCCTGCTGGTGCCCTTGGGGCCTGGCTCACTCGCCCCTGTGAGCACCTGTAACACAGCAACCTCTAAAACCTACTGCAGATCCCACTTCTTTTTGGTTTGGACTCATCTTGAAGCACTCCTGAACTGTTCATGTTAAAGTATGGCTTTTCCAATTTTCAACTTGAAATTGCATCCACAGATTGCCAAAAAGAACTGTGTAGGGCTGAGACCTAGAGGGCCATGGGCTGAATGCTCCCTTCTTCCTGGGGACCCCTGGAGAATCATCTGCACAAGAAAGCTGAAAAACTTTATTTGCATGGTTTCAGAAGAATAACTGAGAGTAGTAGGGAGAAGTATTTGATATGCTTGCCCTGTTCTTGCTATTCTTGGGGCATCACTTGTGGCCTCTGTTCTTTTTGTTTGGTTTGTTTTTACTTCTGTGTTTTGTTTCCTCCTCTGTACAGCTTTTATCTGATGCAGTATAGGTTAAGTCCTGGCTTACTGTCTGTAAACAGTGCATTATAATTTGGAAACAAATGGTTGTAATTTACCTTTCTCAGCATCAGGCTTGATCAGTGTGTCGACTTCAGTCTCTTCAGCTTGATAGCCTGTTTGATCTGTTGTTCTTTGGTCTTGGCATCAGGAGTGAGTGCCAAGCGGTGATACTTGCCGTTCCCCAGCTTTGGTCACAGGGAACTGGAACTGCAGAATATGAAGTTTGTTGCAGGCAAAATTCTTGGTGAGGTGGAGCTGTGGTCTGGACCATTTGGTATGGTTCAGGTCTTTACTCCTATATATAGATGAAAAGCGTGCTCATGACCTACACCCGGGGCTCGCATTTTGTAGACTAATAACCTGCCTAGGGCTATGGCTGGTGGGGGCTCAGTCACTTCTTTTTTTCTTATTTTTCTAATGCCGGTTTCCTTCTTGGTCAAAACATTTTCCCTTGAATGAAATTGCAGTTTTCTTGACTGCCCTAGATGTGATTAGCATTTTAGGCTGTAATTATTTCTGGATGCTTCATTAAATAATTTATTATGTATTTATGCCTATGATAAATTAAAATGGATGGAGGAATTTTTCTGTTACATTTAAGTCACTTTCCTTCTGAGTTGCAGTGTGTGAAAATTCAGGAGTCCTTTTCTCAACCATCTCTGGTGCTGTGTTTATACCATGCCTGGCTGTGTAATACCTAGGCTGGGTGCTCTCTCACTGGATTATCACCGATAGCTTCTGAGACCTGACCTGCTTGCTACCTGCTTCTCCCGCAGGGCTATGTGGCTTTGGAAGTTTATGACCCGTCAGAGTACGATCCGTTCTTCCTGAAGACGTGTACAGACTGCTGGAAGGTGTGATGGTTATTTATGCCGTGAGGTTTACAGGCTCCCTTTGACCAGCAGGAAGTTAATGGTTAGAGAGGAGGCAGCGTGTGTTACTGACGTGCTGCTATGGGACTGCTGTAGAGCAGCACATTGTAGTTTTAACTGAACAAATACGGGTCCCAGCTCCTACTGCATTTAAGCTCAAGAGCATCTGAAAATGGTTTTCACCGGGAACATGGTTTGGGTCCATCCTAAACCCAGATTTGGAGGCACAGTAGGCAATGGCAGAGGGGGGGAGGTTTGTTTTCTTCATCTCAAATTGATTGTGGCAGTGTGGGAAGTGTCCTGGCTAACAGGGGTAGGTGAGTTCCCAGGCAAGCTGGCTGTGTGCTCTGAAGAAGGAAATAATCTGACAGTTCAGATGATCTTTACAGAAGCTCACTCAGTTAGGTAGGACTTGGATACAAATCCATGAAGTGCAATTCATTAAACCCCTTCTGGATGGTGTGAGCCCTCAGCAGCTGCGGGGACCGAGCTGATACTTCATTGCAGTGTGCCACGCAGGGTTCACCAAGATCAGCTGCCTCCAGGAGATCAGATCTCATGTCAGTGGTCTAACTTAGTGGCAGAGTTGTTGAATGCATTATGGCCTGCCTGAGGAGCTGAGATGCTCAGCGTTTCTCAGGCAATTTGGGTCTATGCCTCATGTTTTTATTCATAAAAAATGAGGTTGATGCTCCTTCCCTGCGAACCAACAGTACCTTGATGTTCACATCTGGCTTTGGTCTTTTGAGACTCTAAACAAAGTTCTTGTGTTGGTGCATATGCATGAAATAACTGTCTCTGTCACAGGTTTCAATACCAACATTACAGGATCCTCTGTTAGAAGACATTCAAAGAAAGATTATTGAGACAGGCATTATCAAGCAGTGTGAGACAGGTATTTTAAAACAATTGGTATCCCTTGGAAGTGTTTCATCTTGGGGGACCATCCTTGCTTGTGACAGTAGATGCTCACATGAAGCGCTTGTTACTTTCCTGCCAGGAAGACCATGCTCTGCCAGAGAGCTGCACGAGCTCAGTAAAGCAGAACTGCCGCTGCTTCCTCTGAGCCGGCAGCGTATGGATGCAGCTGAGTGGCTGAAGATACCACACGCCTACATTGCTAGTGAGGTCCACCAAACGAAGAGGTTGATTACTGGGAGGCAGCACAACAGCTACAGTGGATGAGGCCTTTCCTTCTTGGCTGCATAGCAAAGTATTTGCTAAAACTTAAATTTCATGGTGAATTCTGCTTAATTGTGTATTTCTCCTGAGAAAGGAGCATTGGTGAAGGGAAAGCCTTCAGGTATGGAGTAGATAGCAGGATGTATTCAAGTAAAGCATTGATGGTCAAGCTGAGCCTTGAAATAAAGTGGCTTTTGGTGGGGAGTTGACTGCATTTTCTGTGTGCAGCCTGGCAGCCAGCCTTACAGGTCAAGACATGGAATACCTCATGGATGCTTTACTGGAAGATCTGATGTTCATATTTACTTTGGGTTTTGTTTTGTGGTTTGTTTGTTTGTTTGTTTGGTTTTTTATGCTTTTAGTTTGTAGATTTTGGGATCAGAGGGAGGTCATCCTTGTATGGCTGAGGTTGGAAGGGACCTTTGGAGATCATCTTGTCCAACCCCTCCTGCTAAAGCAGGGCCACCTAGAGCCAGTTGCCCAGGACCATGTCCAGGCAGCATTTGAATATCCCCCAAGGATGGAGACTCCACAACCTCTCTGGGTGACCTGTGCCAGTGCTTGGTCACCCTCACAGTAGAAGGGTGTTTCCTGATGTTCAGATGGCACCTCCTGTGTTTCGGTGTGTGCCCATTGCCTCTGGTCCTGTTGCTGGGCACCACTGAAAAGAGCCTGGCTCCATCTTCTTTGCACCCTCCCTGCAGGGATTTGTACACACCAAGGGGATTCCCCCTGAGCCTTCTCTTCTCCAGGCTGAACTGTGCCAGCTCTCTGGGCCTTGTCTCATGTTTGCTCAACCAGTGCCCTTTGGCTGCTGAGATGCAGTGTGCACATCCTGGCTTGAGCCATGAGGCCGGTTCTGTAAAGGAGCAGCTTGTGCTGAGGGAGCTACCTACCACTCCAGAAAGTTGCATCCTAGAGATAAGCTTCGTAATGTTGAGGGTTTTTTGGCAGAGTGGCTGGCTGGACTCAAAATATAGTAGAGCTCACTAATGGTGAACTGATCTGGAGCAGTGATGCAGCTGCCTAAGCTGATAATGGTACAGACCCCCAGCTGGCCTGGCCTGGTAGAGGAGCAGTTGGGATCAGCAAAGAGTGATTTTTTTTTTTTTTTTTAATTAGGTTGTTTTTTTTAAAGTCCCAGTGTTCTGATTCACCCCTTTTGAAAGCTCCCTGGTTTGCCATTGCAGTATACAGTCCTTAAGGGAACTCCTGCTCCCCAGTGACAAAAACACTGGAGATCAACTGGGAGCCTGATGCCCTCCTGAACCTGGCCCACTCCTTCCCCCTCCCCACCCTAGAGTTCTATGCCTCTTACTGGCCCAAGGCTTTACTTCAGCATCTCCAGAGCAGTTATGGGATAACAGCACATTCTGGAAGGAAAACTGGTCATAAAGACATTTCTTGGAGTGACTCAGTGTGGGAAAGAGCTCGTGCAGGAAGCTGCGCTGGGCTACAGCAGCCTTCGTGTTGCATGGCCTGGCAATGGTTCCCACTTCTGTTTAAAGGCAGAAAGTCTGATATCAGCCACCACAAAGCTGGTGAGAGCTGATGATGGCACCTGGCCTCCAGCTGCCTGCAGTGGCAAGCACGGCCAACAAAGTACCACTTCCAAAACAGGTTACGTCTTCTGCCAAAGCAAGTTATAACAGGCCAGGTCTGCTGGCAGACTGCAACAAACTCATTATCTTAATTACATGGTTCTGAAGTACCGTTACCCAGCAGCCAAATAAATGTTTGAGATGCTCTTCCTGTTATTGCCAGCTCCAGTCCACGCTACAGGCCAGAACCTACTGTTTTAGGAGGTTTAACTTAGGCTCAGCGCTACAAAGCCAGTGCTGATGTTTTCTGGTTTATAGGGTGACACAGTCTTTGTATTAAAGGACATGCACTGGTGAGAAAAGAAGTCTGCTAGGGCCCTCTTCTACAGCGTGCAGGGTCTGTGTGGGATCCCCAGCTCTGGCAACAGCTACAGCTCCCAGCCCACTGTATTGCCTGTTACAAGAAGTCATGGGCAGAGGGAATGGTATAGAGTGCAAAATTTTAGCTACAGCTGTTGCAATCTTGCCTGAAGCTGAAAGGTCACCTTGAGATTAAGAACAAACCCTCTCTTTGAATGAGAAAGAGGAGAAGGAGGTGCTGCTGGCTCTGTGTGTGCTTAGCAGATGTGCACAGGAGAGCGGCTTAGCACTGATAGGGAAATAATGATTTGGTTTGTTTTGTTCAAATCTTTATCAGAACTCCCCTAGTGAATGTCTTGCAAACTCTTATTTGCAGAATGATGTTAGGGTGCTACCAAGGTTTTCAAAGGACTTTCTTCTGGAGGCAGTGTACAAGCAGTAAATCAAACTTGAACATACGTGTTGATCGTTCTGAGAAGGCAGGAAATAATTAGGGGAGAGGAGATGGGAAGTGTTCTTGTACAGAATGTCTAGTGCTTTTCAGAGAGTCAGTGCTGAGCACCAACTGCTGTCAGTGCCCTGCAGCTCTGTCGCTCTCTGTTGCAGCATGGTCTCGGCTCCCTGCGAGTGTGACTGCACAGCAGCTCTGGTCTCAAAGCCGAAAAATTGCATTTTCTCTAGGCTTGTTCAAGAAGCTTCAAACTCCCACTGTACAGACACAATCTCTCATGAGTTGCCAAGATTTGGTTTTATTTAGCATTAGAAATACTGAACCACAGAAAACTGTTACAAGTAACAGAGGTTCCCTCAGCCCTGTAGCAGGAGGGTGCACAGATGGCAATGGGGCGTGAAGCTGTCAGACAGCGGGAGGTATTGCTGCACCCGTGGAAAACAAGGGCAGGCGCTGCTCAGAATTGCATGCTGTGCTTTTTCAACAAAGCAGTTTAAGGAGACAGTAAAATGGTTACAAGTATCAAATCCTTTATAAACAAACTTTTTTTTTTTTTTTTAACCATCCCTGATCTTGGTGCCAAGAGAAAGTTCTTGCTGTCAACCAGTCTCATTTTACAGATTTGTGCTGGGGTCAGTTCTCCCCCAGGCAAAGCTTTTAAACTTGTAATAAACCTTTCTTGAATTTAATCCTATAAGATTTTCTCATTATTTCACATTGCCCTGTACAATAAAATATACTTTTTAAAAATCACTATGCATCAATAAACATCTGTAGACAAATTACATTAATAAACTTATATTTTACTCTCTATATACATGTTGGCAATGTCAAAGCTTCAAGATTCACATGGAGGTCTGCAAGACCAAGGAAATGTACACAAATAACTTATATTTAGGAAAAAAACAAAAGCTGAAGAGTATTTTTCCACATTATTGTGGGTCACAGTATTTAAAATATTTTTTTTTGAGTTATTCTTCACAACCACATTGTCTCAGCAGAGAATGATAAATCAAACCGAAGCAGAAAGAAAAATCAAGTAGCAGTTACTGATTTCAGTGCAGAACTAAGTCAAGTAAAGAACTACACTTGATTCTTAAAGAATATTCAATATAGTGGAGACTTCTCCAGTGCTAAGGCTTCTTCAGCATTTAATCTTTAAAACTATCATCCTGAGACGGGAAGATTCCAGTGGATATCACTTTTCAGATTTCGAATGGAATGATTCTAGTGCTGAGCTTAAACCATTCCTCAGTCTATATGTTAGACTAAGTGGTAAAATATACATACATCTTGATGCCACATTTATACTTAATACTTCTTATGGCCCTGAAAATGGAAACATTGGCATCCAAAACCAAGATATTCCAACATAATAAAAAGGCACTGAGCTATAGTACTGTATATACAGTAACATTTCTGTTTGCATAGATCAACAACTTTGAACGCTGCAAGGAACTAAATGCAACCAGGAACTAAGAGGAAATACAGAAGCAGCAGAAACTCTTGATTAATAATCAGCATGGCGCAAGGAATCTTTAACAGAAAATGCTGAGTCTGTCAGCTTCAGTTGTCCTTCATAAATTAAAAAAAGTGTTCTCAGAGGAGTGTTTTCTGATCAAAGAGCTGCAGGTCAAAACGGACCCAGACTTCACCTGTTGGAACTTCATGCAGCAGTAAGTGTTTGGTCGTGGGGCCTTTGCTTTCTTGTTCTGTTCTGATTTTTGCTACTGGCACTTCAGTGCGCCCCAAAAAATCTGTTGGGCAAGTGAAGAAGAAATTTCATTAAGCCAAGACATTAAGCTTAGAAAATCTGAAAGTGTCAGGTTAAGCAGCAATGCTGCATAGTGTATATTCAGTTCCAGAGCACCGGTCCCAAGCTTCCTGTTTAACTAGCCCTCAGCCCTGTGTAAATCAGCCAGCAGTGACAAAAAAAAGATCTTCTCAGAAGACAAAAATGCTATAGAATTAGGCTTAAAAAATACAGTTCCCTTTCAGGAACACAGTTTCAAATATTCTCTTGTCGCAGAGCTATCAGAGTTAAGGGATGGAACCTGTTTACAAGTCAGCTGTGGTGCTACAAAGGCAATTGAAAAAAAAAAAAAACCAACCCATTTTGGCTCAGCCAACTTTTAATTAGGTTTATATATAATTGTTTTCACAGAACAATGACCTTGAACAATTACTGCCACTAGTAGGTTTAGAGTCCTATCCAGAAGTTAATATACCCTCTTTGTAACCATTTCATATATAACACCTTTGTGGGTGTGTGTGCGCATTAAAAGGTTTACCATGAACTGAAAAAACAACAGACTCTGCTCTCCAACTGGGAGAAGCAGCCTAGCAAAGTCACATTATCTCCCAGCAGAAAAGACCGAGCTATAGTTACACATAGGGCAACCTGGGTCAAGGCAGTACCTTGCAAATCTGCAATAATCTGTGTGTCTGAGCCCTGAAGAAGCACTTAGGTTTTTAAAGAGTACTAGATGCAGCTGACTGCAAAAACCATGTTCAGTTTCCAAGCAAAAAAAGAAAGTATATCAAGCTGTTGCTGTGCAAATATAATTTGGCATCTTATTTTCGGGCACCTATAGTGAGAGAGAAAAACTTCTGCTTTCAGCTTCTCTGTCTCCCCAGCCTGACTGAAAAATAATTCTGATACAAAACCCAGAGCAGGGTCAAACCTGCCTGCCCAGAGCTCTTGGCTGTGGAAGGCTATTGAACCTCCCGAGTAAGGAGTTACTGTTTTCACACATTTCTCAGGAAGCAATCATACCTCCAGGCTCTTGGAACTGCTGGTGAGGAACTGTGTACCCCCAATCACAAAAAAGCATTCTTTTCTTAAAAGAAATACACTTACCATCGGGTGAGAACTGATCCCTGTCAAACATGGTGATACACAGGACATCCTGATAGAGATCCTTAATGAAGAACTGGCAGTTGAAGTTCCACTTGGGGTTCAAGGTGTCCTGCAGGGTCCTCGTAGTGTAGCTCTGAGAGCCCATGCTGATTTCACAATACGGGTTGCTCTTCCCTGAACACAGAAAGAGCAGTGGAACACCTCTGCAGCGCACAAACCTCCCTGTCTGGAGGCTCCTTGGACACACACCGATGCTGCTGTCCAGAAGACATGGGTCAGGCAATCCCTAT